CTTCCTTCATTGCCATGCATTCGTATTATTTTTTTTCTTATTTGACAGCCAAATGACATTTACACAATTTTTCCCCATTTTACTTATATAGCCATACAGACATTCATTTTCCTGTTGTACGTTTTTCGCATAAGTACTGAAAAAATCATACTCGGAATCTGAATAATAGAATTTATTATAGCGGACGCTTGCCAAGAATTTTCCCAGGAAAATTTGAAAAAATTTAACAAAAAGTAATTTAGAAACCACAAGAAAATTATATTATTACACTAATGAAGGAAATATATGTGAAATGAATGAAAAATTGAATTGAATGAAGTGAAAAATTGATTTGTGTAAATCGAAGAATATCCCAAATTTTAAGGTGGAGTTATTGAATTTTACAAAAGAAAAATACCTTGAAAATTACCCTTACTTGTGTTTTAAATAAAAGTGAAAATAAACAAAAGATAAAATATTCAATTTTGAAGGATTTCGAACAAGGTTTCGTTGAATTAAAATAATTGTAAAATTGTGACACGGTCATTTAATTTTTTTTGTGTGAAAAATATACATTTAATGCACACAAAAACACACACGCACACAATGAAGCAAGTGACGTTATACATGGAGTTGCCAGATTGAGGTATCATTTAATTATTTAATTGGGATTTTAATGGAGAAATTGTTGGAAGAAAAGTTGTCGGGGTTTTATGGCTAATGAGGGTATTCTGGTACTATCAAAAATCTGTTTTTTTGATATCATAATGGAACATTTGTTACAACGCGTTTAGACTACTAAATCCACTTGATCTCAAATGTCTCACTTGGTTGGGGTACACCTGATTTTTTGACCCAGAAGTTCGGGTACGGGTATACCGATTCTACGGAACCGATTATAATTTTAAAGGTTAATGGAATTATTGTAGTTTTCTAACCATAATAATAGAAGGTAACAGCAAGTGTTGTTGTACAACAACCACATGTAAATTTGTTGTTGTAAGTTATACTAGTGTCAACGTCATTTGACAGAAAAATGTAAACAAACAAATTATCAACAAATTATTTTTTTATTTAATATTTTCTAATCCTCAAAATAAAATTTGAAAAACATGAATGAAAATCTATGAAATTTATATTTCTATCGCTTCCACATCTTTCCTATAATTGAGCCATTGCCACCTATATATGTGTAACACATATTAAAATACAGGGAATTGCGAGTTATTCCATGAAGAAATATTTGCTTCCTCAAACTTTCCCAGCAGGCAGATTGAGTAAATTGGATACGGGAGCACATTTAATAAAGAACAAATTCAAGTTGTATGCGTTCCCAATTTTCCTGATGGGTGATTTTTAAAAACATAATTTGTCAAATTCATATTTACACTAGTATTACGTTGGAATCAAAACAGCTGGGATTTGCTGTTAGTCTTGATTTATATTAGACGAGTTTGCTTGCGGCAATTCTTGTTGTTCTCTTTTGAACTTGCTTCATGCGTTTATACAAGGCAATTCGGTTTCCAAAATATTTTTTTATTTGTTGTTTTTTTCACATTTAAATCTATATAAAATGTCAACAAATACGAAATACACAAAACGAATTGCCAGAAAATTGTCGGTACGAGCAATTTTTTTTCATTTCTATTCCCCTTGCCCCTTTCTCCTACAAACAAAGACTTGCCGCAAGTAAACTCGCCTAATCTAAATCAAGACTTACCTTTTATAATTGTACAATGTTTTCTAACAATTTTGAAAAGCTCGGGTCAAATAACCAATTAACCGGGTATGCCTGCCAAGAAAAAATATCCCCATAATTTGGTTAATAATCAGAGATGGCCTGTAAGAAATATTGACGTAAATGACATACATTTCCGACGTATAATACATACGTCAGAAACGTCGGAACCCTACCCAAATCCATTAGGTTTTTGACAAAATATCTATTTCCATTAATCAATTCGGAAATTACGCTGCTTTACTCAAATTAATAAAAAATTTCAAAATTTTCTTCTCAAACAAATTTAGAAATTTTTATAAGTTCAAGTAAGGAATGGTCAGATATATGTAAAAAATAATATATATTCTTTAAAATAGCTGTATATGCTGATAATATTGAAATAAATGACGTTTACTACATTTTATACAGGTATATGACGTTAAGAAACGACGTTTATTTTTGACAGTCGAAAACCTAAATATTCGTCAGACGGGCCATCCCTGGTAATAATACTTACCTCTGGAAGAAACTTAAAAAAAAATCTTATTGCTTTTAATAAACAAGAGTTAAGCCTTCCTCTTCTATAAATAAGAACTACAGATTAAGCTCTTCCTCCAACTACTTGAAGCAGAATGGTATCGGGCACGTCCGAAGTTTGAGGATAGTATAAACCCCATTAAATTTTAATTAGTATATCTGAATATTTAGGAAATGAGCTTAGGCCGTTTAAAACCCAAATGTGTTTTGGACATTTAAATTGTCAAAGTATTCGACCTTCGAACAATAATATTAAAATTGATGATTTGTGCAGTCTTTTTTGTGAAAGTGGTCTCAGAAACATGGTTAAAAAGCTAGTCACTATTCCTGGGTACACTCTTGACCGAAATGATCGTCCAATGTCTAGAGGGGGTGGGGTTGGATTCTTCATTTTTAATCACATTAAATTTGAAGTAGTTCGTCGGTCCTTGTATTTTGGAGTTAGTCGCTTTTTATTGTAGTTAGCGACGGCTTAGAAAAAACTTTTTTTGGTGTTGTTTATTTGCTTCGTGGCGACATTTATAAGTTTGTCCTCTGACCCTTTCGCTAGGTATTGTTATGTTATTTTTGTTGCAGATTTTAATTACAATTGGTTTAACTTTGCAAAATCACCTAAAATGAGGGATGTATCAATGAGATTGGGACTTACAATCGTCCATAACACTCTTCCTACCCATTTTGATGTTTCGCATACATCGTCGTCTTCATGGTTTTAAGTCGTCCTGCTTCAATGAAGTATTCTGGGAAACTTCAATCTCCATCATTACGTGACATATCTATTTACTTTCTACAACTTTTTAAGAATATTCTAACAATTTCAACTTTCCCTTTATGCTAGAAAAAAATGCGTGTGGTCCTATCCATAAATCTAAGGGATCTTTCGGTATGGAAAATTTATGTCCCCTTAGTATTCTTCCCACATTGTCTAATATAGAGTAGCATCTTATGAAATATCAAATATAAGATTATATCGAAGGCACGAAGACACATTGTGTGACAAATATTCATAAAAAATAATAGCGTTCCATTTTTTTAGCCTTTTTAAGCCCATTTTCACTGTAGGTCTATGTTCCGCTGGCATATCAGGTTGTTGAACATGTTAAATGTAAGTCTTGAAATAGACCCCATTTAAAGATCACGTCTGATTATAGGTATTTTGATGGATCAGAGCGCATTTTTTAAACGAAGTGGCTGGTAATGTCTTTGCAAAAAGATTACCAGTACCTTGTTTTGATTATATATACCATTATATGGCTCATCTGATGCTGATTACAACAGCATACATTTTTTCAGTTAGTCCGTAGGAGAAAGTCTTAAATCCCCGGCCGAAGGCGGAAAAAATACTTAAATTTAAAGAAAATCCTGCTCGCGTAGCCCAATGTCCCACCTGTCTATAGGAGAAAGTCTTAAATCCTCGTCCGAATGCCGTTTACTCAGAAAAAATTCAAATTAAAATAAAATTCTGTGGGGGTGTTTTTTGAACTTTGGACGCCCATATCTCGGGAAGTACTGAAGCACTTACTATATATATATATAAAATGATCTGAGAGGTGTCAGATAAGTGCGTTTGTTATAAATCTCCTACTATTCACCAAACTGGCTCAAATATTGACCTCAATCTTAAGTTTTTTTTTTATAATCACCACATAATTAATTAATTGCTACATTATCCCATGTTCTCATGTAAAATATACTCACAATCTGGCAACACATTACAACACAATACAAAGGCAAATTTAAATCTATTATTTTTTTGTTTTGTTGATGTTGGTGCTGCTATAGTAACCCAAACCAACCGACCGTCCGACTGAGCGACCAATAAACCAACCAGACAACCACTCACAAATCTCAGATTCTTTTGTTACAAACAAAAGTGACAAGTAAGTGGAGAACACTCACCCTGAATATAGGAGTGGACCCACTGTGGCTTCATCAACTCTTTTTCCCCCATCTGACGGCTGATGCGTGCGCGTATGTCAAGCTTACTCGGCAATGTGCAACCGACATTGAATGTGTGTCTAGTGGAGGTGTGCGGCAGAGTTCCCTGATCGGTCATATACACAATTCTGAAATTGTAAAATGTTTAAAAATAAACAACAGCGATATCAATAATAATAATGCAAATGCTGGCCCCCAAAAGCATCTCTTCCATTCAGATCAATTACACTTTGTATACATAATCAAAATAAATACATGTGAATGTGAGTGAGCGAGCTTGCTGTCACTTTTTGGTTTTGAAATTCCAAAACGGTGAACGTGAGGGGTTCAAGTCATTGAAGTAAACAAATCGGTTACAATCACTAATTAGGCAGGCTTCCAATTTCCATACTCTGCCCATTGGTTTGTTCGTTGGGTTATATATTTACATATATACATAAATAATTTGTTTTTTTATTAGCGGCTTTTCACTGCAACGTTTATTTTATTCGATTTCCATATTTACAGATAGACGACACAACACCATCATCATCACTACGACATAACGACTTTCCGATTGAAAATTGATCTCATTGAGCTTGATTTGAATTACGTTGAATTGGCACAACAACAAACAAACACGTTTCGATTAAAAACAGAAACGTATTTGAATACTAACGAAGCGCAATAAAAATGAAAATGCTAACACAATATGTATTCTGCTGGTGATTGATGTAGTCGGAGGAGGTCATTCATCATCTCATACTGCATCAAGTAGTAGTCAAACGTAGCGTAACTTATCATCATACGGTAGAAGACGCCGCATACCTAATCTAAATTTCCAAAGATGTCAACAAATGCAAATAATTCCGATCTATATTTGAGACCTCTACCATTTCTCGATCACAAATGGGTAAGAGCAGATCTCATATCGAGTCTACGAAGCCCCGAAGATGCTGCTGTATTGTGGAATAATCTAATACAAGATTGTGAATTGGTATCATCGCCGGCTGGACCTGTCCTAAATACTGCCGGTAATTGGTCATATTTGGGCGATGATGGAAAACATTATTGTGGTGTCCAAAAATTACAATGTTCCTGTTGTCCGGCAAATGACTATTGCGGTCCGCTATCGGCCTGTAATTGTAGTGCTTGCCACAGTCTGGATTCGGATGCGACCATTAAGAAAATAACCACACAGGCCCAGGCGGCTGCTGCTGCAGCCCAACGTATTGCCAGCGATGCCATCTTTGAGTCTTGGCTATGGGGTCAGACCCCAAATGCTGTGGCCAAAATTGAATGTCAAAAGACTTTAATTAATGAACTGCATGATATTGCTTTACAGGCAGCCGGCAATTGCCTTTCGGCCATACATTTGCGGCAGCAGCTTTTCATATATGAACGATATTTTGTGGCACTGGCACGGTGTAAACAACAATTGCAGCAACAACAGGCAATGCAACAACAACACAGTCTACAACAAATGCAATCAACAGAGATGCCAACATCACTTAATCCGACAAATCCATTTTTAAATGTTGGCGATAAAACCCGCCTATCGGAAGAGAGTAATTTCTCGTCGCGTGATCGTTTTGGTAAATATCGTCAGACATCATCACAGGAGTTGCGATCACCGGGACGTGATAGTGAACGTGCCACATTGGGTTTGGCACGTGTCTGTACGCGGGCAGCCTTGAATTTTTCCTTCTTTTTTCTGCGTCGAGCATGGCGTTCCGGTGAAGATACGGAAATGTGTAGTGAATTGTTGTGTGAAGCCTTAGAATCGTTACAAGATTTACCCGAAGCATTGCTGTTCGATACAACACAGGTAAGTGTGGGTAAAAAAGGAAATTATAGACATGTAATAAATATCCTTCAACAAAACATACAGTTTGTCACGAAATCGAGAATAATGACAAACTACCATATTTAGGCGCAATAATAATTAGACAAGGTAATGAACTCAATTTCAGTTATGTTTAAAAATATCCAATACATCTTCCGCAATAGATCCTTAAAAAAATAATTTATGAAATCGAAGACTTCAAATAATAGTGTTACGAATTCAAATTTGTATCCCTTATATTTATGAAAAAAAAATAGTACTAAGAATTGAATCTTTGTCGTGAGATATTCTCCTAATAGATTTTCAAATATTGCTATAAATTCAGTTATTTAATCTTTATATATCTTCGAAAAATATTCCATGGTATATCCTTGGAAATAACGTATAAAATCCACGTCTTCCCCTCTGATATATCTTTGGAAGTAATGTAAAACATCCACGCCTTCATCCCTGATATATCCTCGGAAATATAGTAAAAACGCCCATATTTAATCCGTGATAGATCCTTAGATCCAAGCTTCCAAACCAGATATGTCCTCAAAGAATGGTGTTATAAATTCAATTTTTTTTATTTCTTCAAAAAAATACTAAGAATTGAAGTCCTCATCCCTCAAATATTGCTATAAATTCAGATAAATATATCTTCCTGGTATATCCTTGGAAATAACATATATATAAATTATCTTAAATAGAAAACATCCACGCCTTCATCCCTGATATATCCTCGTAACCTTCAAAATGTAAAGTTAGGCTTAGGTTTGAATGGTGTTATAAATGCTTTTTTTATATCTTGGACACATATATATATAAAACAGAAAGGATAACCTCTATAAGTTTCTGGTGATGTAGATTAAGGGATGCTCCGTAGTAGAGTTGAAGGTTAGACGTGGCGGAGAATGATCACCTATTAAACTATGCCGTTTGCAGGCCAAACCTGGACACCAACATGGGATATGATCTATCGTCTCCGTCCTCACATTATCGTCTCAATTGATGGTAAAAGTCCTGATATAGCAGTTACAAGCAATAACTCCCGTTATTTCTTTGAACATGACAGAGTTTGCCAGATGGATCTTGGCACATGTGCTATAATTTACTGGTCTCTATATTTGGAAAAAGATTATAGTCTAGTTAGTTCGCGGATTTTTAAAGGATATTTTTACATTGATAATCTAAGGCGGGGACTTTTTAGAGATTATCTTTAATGGCTCTATAAAAGGCGTGGGTTTTTAGGGGATATCTTTCAAGGGTATATCAAAGGCGTGTACTTTTAATGGGATATATTTTAAGTGTCTATTAAAGCGTGGACTTTTTATGGGATTTTTTTAGGGAATATGTTTCAAGGGTCTATCCAAGGCTTGGATTTTTTATGGGATATCTTTTAAGGATCTATCAAAGACGTGGGTTTTTTAATAGTGCCACATCCAGGTTTTTGATCTACTCGCGAAGACTCAGTCTGGAATACACTACAGTCGCAATATAACCTTTATATATTTTTAAGACTTAGCCTTTCGCAGTAGACACCAGCTTTAGTGCATTCCTACGTTTTGGAACCGTCACTCTTTCGGGAAACATTCATAGGCACAATTTCACCAAAGATTCTGATTTTGCAGCTTTAGAGCACTACGTACTGCCAAACACTTAATGTTGAGTCTTAGAGGCCATAAGTTCAGCACTGCGTTCAAAGCAGCTTGAGGTGTGCGCGGTTCCAGTTATGAGAATCAAGGCTGCTCTTTGCACCTTGTTAATGTAGTAGAAGCTCTAAAGATAATTTGAAAATTTCAAATCTTTCAGTAATAATGTTAAAAATCCAAGCAATCTTCCCTAATAGATATATAAAAAACAATCTTAAGATGGCGCCTCATCCTCCCCGATATATCTTCTGAAAATACTGGTACAAATTTAATTAAAATTCCACATAAAAATTAATTAAAATTGCATGAATATATCCTTAAATGAAACTTTATAAATCCCCAACTTCGGATCTTATAAAGCCTCAAATATAATGTGTAAAGGTCTTCTAAATAAAATCTTAAAAAAATTATATTCCCAAATCAATGGCTTCAGATCTGATAAAAATAAGGTTTAAAATCTACGACTTCATCCATTAAAAATGCGCTAATCATCGCAGATAATGGTCATATAAATACAAATATCTATTAGTCAATCCATACGCATATGGCTATATTAGTCCTTTGGAAAATTTTCCTTTAACAATATTGATCGATCCTTTAAAGTTGTTTTTTTAATTCTTAGTTCTAAAGCTCTTTTAGGATTTTTTTTCTTTGTATTTGTATTTTGCTTTCATATCCATTACTATGGTAAAGAACAAAGGAATATTTGATATGTCACTGAACCATATTGACGCTGTAGAGAAAGGTCAGCAAAAGTTTGGTACAAATATATTAGTTTGTTGACCTTGACATAAAGGAATCATAAAATCTTTACACGAAGTTGTATACTTGGGTGCAAATTGTCTATGCCTATACAAAAAGGATAAGAAATAGCTCAGCAATGTGACAATGAACCGCTACCATCTTGCACACACTCTCATATATTATCTTTCTCATTTTTTTAATTTTCCTATCTCCCCTTTAGGTATCACCCCTGTGGATTGAAGTGTTGGAACGTTCAATAAAATTTCTACGACAAGTTGCCTTGGGTGATCCATTGGGTGGCCGTTGTTTGGCCCCCAAAGAAGATCGCCACACAGCTCTGTGTTTGCTATTGGAGCTGGGAGCCCAAAAAGGCAGCCTAGCTGCATCATTGGAAGCAGTTGTCCTTCTACTTACCCTCTGGGAAAAAGACAAATCTACAGATGATAATCGTGATGTACCACAAAATACAGGCGCCCCATTGGTACCCATACTAAAACGTTATGAATGCATTGGTAATTATGGTCTAACACCAAATAGTTCTGCCAATGTTTTACCATCCAGTGCCACGGAGTGTTTTCTACGTTTCTTGACATTACCCGAACAGGAAAATGCCAATGTTGATTTGAAACAGGCAGCTGTTGTTATTATATCACATTTAGATCGATTGGCCAAACCGCACATGCCTACAGCACATTCCATACAAACGAATTACAATGCAATGCAGAATAAATACAACGCCTCCGCGGCCGGATTGGGAAAAACCTCATTGATTAATCAAAGTTCTCAGGAGAGTGGTTCATGTGGACCGGGTGCTTCGATAACCACTAACAATAATAATAACATCTCGTCAAGTACTCCTCAATTGCATGAGCAGCGAATTTATGCCCTGGGATGGTTATCATTGAATCCCCATCAAAATGGCTTTACCGCCGAGCCCGCGGTGGGCATGCCCTTGAATGGAAATCAAACCACATATAGTCAATATTCAGCGCCGGTTTTGAACTTCTACTTCCAAGTACAACAAGTGGTTATATCCGAAGAGTATGTTTTGTTCTTAACCCAAGATGGCAAGATGTACACCTGGCGTATTTCCAAACCCGAGACGGAACCCATGTTGATTGAAGAAATGTCCGAGGTGCATGTAATAGCAGTGGCAGCCCACTGTGAGGGTAGGCATTATATGGCTGTGGATAGTATGGGTAAGTTGGAAGAAATATACATTTTATAAATGGGAAGCTAAATGTGGACATTATATTCCAGGCAATGCTTATTCCTGGGGCAATGGTGTGGGTGGCCGCCTGGGTCATGGTGATACATTACCGCGAGAACATCCCACAAAAATCAATGCTTTGGAGAGCACGGTCAAATCGGTGCATGTTGGTTGTTCCTATAGTGCTGCCATTACCTTCAATGGCACTTTATACACCTGGGGTCGTGGCACATATGGCCGCCTGGGTCATGGCAATTCTGATGATAAACTCATACCAATGCCCGTTACTGCTTTGTCGGAACACAAAATAATCGATGTGGCCTTGGGTAGCGGTGATGCCCACACCTTAGCGGTTACCGCCTCTGGTTTGGTTTATGCCTGGGGTGATGGTGATTTTGGTAAATTGGGTAATGGTTCCTGCAACGGCTCACCAATACCCCAACTTATTGATACCCTACCACGAGTGCAACGTGTATTTGCTGGTGCCCAATTCTCGGTGGCCCTGACGTGTGATGGCAAATTATATTCCTGGGGCAAATCGAGTGGTGGACGTCTGGGTCACAGCCAGCTGGACAAACAAGTACAGTGTCTGAGTACACCCAAATTGATAACAGCTCTACAATCAAAAACTATTATTGATGTGGCCATTGGTGTTTCCCATTGTTTGGCCTTGAGTGCCAATGGTGGTGAGGTTTTCGGCTGGGGTCGTAATGATTATCAACAAATATGTCCAGCCTCGATTTGTAAAGAACCTTTGGTGAAACAACCCATTTTGGCGACTCATCCTTCCGTTTATGCCTATGGCATAGCTTGTGGTGCCGCTCAAAGCATTATCTGGAGTCAAACTTCGATACAGGGAATACCGGCACGTATACCGTTTGTCATTGATTTAAGTGAACAGACTTTCCGTCTGTTGGATCAGCTGTTGGGTATGGTTTGTGGCCAGGATTCCAATAATCGTCAAACACCAAATCAAGAAGCTGAATGTGTGGCCGTGGCTTGCTTAAATCTGCTACGATTACAATTGCATGCCCTCATTGCGAATGGCATTGCAGCAAAAAGTGTGGGCCTTTCGGAAGGCTCTCGATTATTGGTTAGCTTGAAAACTCGCATCCTTAGCCTAGCTGGAGGAGCAAATGTTTTGAAAACAATGCAAGAAGCTGCCCAGTGGGCATTACAAGTTGGCTGGAGTGTACTTTTACCAACTGCCTCAGAAAGAGCACAAACATTAACATCACTACTGCCATCGGAACCGGGTATTTCGACGGCGGGTCATAGATTTATGACCGACCTCTTAGTGGGTTCGCTAATGGCAGAAGGCGGTCTGGAAACAGCTTTGAAACAAGCCATACGTTTGGAATGTAATGATTGCTGCGCCGACAATGGTCACAACCTACCTTTGCTACATCTCATTAAACAACTATTGCGCAATAATTCTGCCTTAACTCAGGCCAAGCTAACACAACTAGTACTCAACAATGGCTGCCTCAAGACGACAGAAGAAGACAATAATCCATCCCTGCAATTGTTGGAACATTCTAGTCCCAGTTTAGATTTACTCCATCGTTTTCAGCGTCTGCTCTTCGCACACATCCATGAATGTCCCAAAAATGAAGATTTAACCGGTGCCGAATTGCTGCTTAGCAAATATGTCCAAAGTGCTATTAGCCTATGTATACATTCCCTACAGAAAGCCCATGAAGTGGCCTTGCAAGGCAAAGAAGGAGTACCCGATATTCTAATGACAGACATTTCCGATACTCTACTCTATGAACTTTTAATTGGCCTTATAATTTTAAAACGTGATCGACCCACGCTAATGCCGGCATTTGATTGGTCTCATCATTTTGTTCCTCTGCTGCATGCCTTAGATAATTTAAATCGTCTCATTTGTGATAGTGATATACAGGATTCAGATGATTTGGGTTGGCCCGGTATTATATGCCGCGGAAATTTGAAAAATTCTTCTATGTCACAACAACAACAGGAGGAGCTGATGCTGATACGTAAAAATGATTTTGAAAATCATTTATTGGATGGTGGCAAATGGATCATATTGAATGGTTATGTGTGTGATATTAATGATTATCAGTAAGTAAATATTAATATGTTTATATATGAATGTATGAAAAAAAGGGATAGGTCATCAAAAATATTTTTAAAATTTGGTGTTTATAGTATTACTATGAAAAAATTGCTCTGAGCCTCATATTTCTTAAGAAGCCCATTTCTCTGAGAAATTGACGTGTGATGTAAAATCATATTTATGGGGAAATCAGATGAAGGAAATTTATTTTTAATATCCGATATTCTTAAAATCTACATGTTTTGACGAGTATTCGTTGCAAAAAATATTCTTAAAAAAACACACCGATTGCCCCGATTATCCGTTGACAAAATACCCTTAAAACTATTTCAAAATAAGTTTTTTTCTTTCAAATTTTGGTACTCGTCTTATAATCCATATTTTCTTTCCATTCTTAGAAATGAAAATTCCTGCATTAATGATTACTTGAACGAAAGCATTGGTAAAGATCTTTCTGTGGATTTGAATAATACCAATTATCGTTCATGTCTGGAGTATATTCTAAGTCATTACAAGGTTGGACGTTATGCACCTAATATTAGTGAGGAAAAGGTATGTCATGCAATTCTTTGTATTACATTTTCCCTAAAATATATATATTTTTTTTCAGCCACATTTACAACAAAGTAAAGTTTTAACCCACTTCAACTCGGAACGAGCATTGGCTTACCTCTTGGGTTTAGTTGTAAACACGTTGCAGATTGGTCCACCTCCCCAACCCGCAGAATTACAATGTAAAACGATTATTAAATCAAGTATATTAAGTGGCGGTTTACAGGTACTACAGCCGAGTAATCCCTTTGATGAGGAGAAAGGTGAGGCTCGCAGCAGTGCCAGTACGGCTGGTAGCACTCCAACTGAACCACCAGCTCATACCATGGCAACAATTGGTGCCACCATTTTATCACCCAATAATGTGCAACAACGTATAGAAACCTTAGTATCCGGTCTATCCGATGGTCGCTTAACAGATCCCTTAGTAGTAACCTGGATGACAATTTCCGAACGTTTTTGCAAGGAAAACAATTTAATATGGCATCAAGAATTTCCTCCCGAACATCCGGTACAAGAGCTGGAACGTTTGCTGACCGCTGTTTTAATACGCCATCAAAGTCTGGGTGGTTTAATCCTAACCACCATTGAACGTGATTTAGGTGGTGTTACAACAAATCCAGCTGGAAAATTACCCAAACAAATTGCCGAAATTATACGTTTAATATATCAAACGAAATGGTCGGTTGTCCGTATAAGACAACAATTAAATCGTAGCTATAAAGAGGTGTGTGCTCCAATGTTGGAACGTTTACGTTTCCTGCTGTATGAGGTACGACCCGCAGTGAGTTTAGAACAAGAAGGTCTACACAAGTTACCAATTCTACACAAACTGCCAAGGTTTAAGCAAATTGTTCGCAAAATTATTGCTGAAATGCGTGTGGCCAAGAAACAGCTAATATGTGCCAAACCGGAGGATATCCTTAATGTTACCATACAAAGTCAAAATGTTGCACAAAAATTAAATCAATCACAGGTGAGTTGAGTTGGGATATTCAAATATATATAATATTCGAGTCTGATCCTTTAAATATTCTGCACTGGGCCTAAAAATAACTGCGCTCTGCTGGATCTGTGACTTCACAAAATATTTTTTCAAAAAATTCACACTCCGCTGGTCCCTTGAATATAATCTTTTATAAAATCTATGCTCTGCTGATCATTCAATAAATATTCTTTTAAAAAATCTACACTCTGCTAGTCCTTCAAAAAAATATCCAACCATTGATCGTCCATACAAATTATTTTGTACACACTAGTATATTAAAAATACTTATAGAAAAAAATTTTAATTTTTTTTTCATTTTCTCCTTTGTTAAAGGAATCTCTTTTGGAAGCATCAAATATTGACCGCAATATGCCAGCCGCTACAGAAATTGTGACAATGCCCCCGGCCCATGCCACAACCGTACAAATACCATCGACCCTCACAAATCATCCATCAAATGAAAATCTCCTCGAAACCGGTGATAATAATGTCATCTTGAGTGAACGTAAAGCCTCTCATGATGAAATAAAACAACAGGCAGCTGCAGATCTCGATTATGAAGATAAAAAACCCGATGTAGAACCAAGACTTAGTAGTGATCTCATACGACGATTATGTGAAAAATGGTATTTCTCGGGTGATGTCAACACGACAATTATGAATGAAATTGTTGAATTTGTAATGCAAGAAATCTGTGATGTAGAAACGGTGCGTCGCGCCATGTATTGTCAGGTGCAACGTTATCAGATACGCCGTCAAGGCTTGGAAATGTTCCATACCATTTTGCAGGTTAATGGTTTAATGGATGCCGTTAAATATAATATGCTGAGTGGCTATTTGGGTTTACATCTCAAGGGTAATAAACAGACAACCACAAATATCCTAGATGATCTCGGTTCAATAACGGCATTTCAAAAAGCCAATTTAATGTTGGCCCAAGCGAAAATCTTGGAATGGTCTGTTGGCGAACTTCAAAGACTAGTTAATCAAGAACAAATACATTTTAAATCGAAATACAACAACACCGGCAAGGACAATACAAATTTGGGTACATATGTTTTTCTCAAGAAGTTACCCAGAGCCCGATTCCTTTTGAGCATCTTTGGTATTTTGGCCAAAGATGTAAGTTCAAATGAACTTAGTTTACTCATCAATTCCGGTACTTTGGGAACGGTGTTGGGCTTGTTAAGTCAAACTGGTGGTGATATACCGGCTGTAAAAAATACCTATGAATTGTCAACAGTCTATGAAGATACCATACTCAAACAGAAATCGAATAAGGCGAATTTGACGGGTCCGGAATTGGCAAAACTAATGAAAATTGGTACGCGTATTGTACGAGGTGCTGACTGGAAATGGGGTGATCAAGATGGTAATCCACCTGGTGAGGGACGAATTATCAGTGAAGTTGGTGAAGATGGGTAAGTAGAAAACGTATTTGAAAATTATTCGGACAGTAGTTATATGGTATGGTTATATGGTTCCAAGAATGTAGAATGAAATGTGTTTTGTTTAAATCGGTTCAGATTTATGTATAGCTCCCGTATGTATTTTTATCTGTTTTGATATAGAAGGTACACAAAGTTTGCTCGATTGAAAAGAAATTGTGCAGATCATACCGAATTAAGTCTAGAAGGATGTATGTTAAATTATATTGAAATCGGTTCAGATTTTTATATAGCTCCCATATATATATATATATATATATATATTCGTCCGATTTGAGGTAAAGTCCCTATATATCTTTCGATTGGCACAAAATTTTGCACAGCGTAACTATTTAAGTCTAAAATATCTTGAATTAAGTTATATTGAAGTCGATTCCGATTTAAACATAGCTCACATATATATTTTCGTCAGATTTTTCATAAATCGTACACCAAAGACCATAAGTTTGTTCGATTGAAACGAAATTTTGCACAGCGTTTCTAATTGGGCCTAGAAAGTTGCCTGTCAAATTTGATAACAATCGGTACAGATTTTGATATAGTTCCCATATACAATTTCGTATGATTTGATGTAAATAGTGCACAAAACAATCGAAAGTTTGTAAGATTGAGATGAAATTGTGTAGGACGCATTAAATTAAGTCTAGAATATAGTGTATTAAATTTTGTTGAAATCGGTTCATATTTTGATATAGCTCCCATATATAATTTCGTCCGATTTTGTGGAAATTGTGTACAGAAGGTCAGGTTTGAAATTTTGTACCTTGTGTGCTGTTTTATCCGATTTTATGTAAATCGAACAGGAAATACCTTTTGTGACTAATATTATGTGCGTCAAGTTGTAAAAAAATCGGTTGCGATTTAGGTATACCTCCCAAATTTTCGTCCGATATATTTCCCAAATTTTCTTCCGATATATCTCCCAAATTTGCGTAATTAAATCTTCATGCGTTTTCTTCTTCTTTCAGTTGGGTACGCGTTGAATGGTATACTGGCGCCACCAATTCCTATCGTATGGGCAAAGAGGGTCAATATGATTTGCGATTGGCCGACAGTGCTCTAAATATTGTATCACCAGATTCGGAAACGGAAAAAGAAGAAATTAGCTGTGACTCGACATTGAATGGTGAATCGCATCCAACAAAATTGTTGCGTTATGCCTGTACGAAATTTTTACAAATTGTATCGGTTGGAATTGGTCTACATTCGGAGAAGATGGATAAGAATGCAGTACGCGGTATAGCATCAATGTTTCGTTCAATATTAAATCCAGATTCGACATTGGCAAACATATGTGGTTTGGACAATTGGACTACATTGGGATTCCTGAAGGCAATTGCAGGTGAGTTTTGATTTTAATAATTAAAAAAAGAATATTTACAACTATACGATTCTAATTTCACTGTTCCCTCTCTGCCTTTCTCTCATCAACAGGTGAATCCATAACCTTGTCTAAGCACCTGACCTCCCCCATTTGGATTGATTTCTATATAAATCTGTTGGAACAACCCACAACCCGTGAACAAGATGTTTTTCGTAAAATCCATTGTTTGCGTTTGCTGCAAATTGTTCTGCTGCATTGGAGCGATGAGGGTGATTTGAATAAAATGACAGCCTTGGTTAGACAAATCTTTTCCACCCTGGGAAAATTAACTTTATATTGTCCCAATGATTCTTCGCTGCTGCAAACAACATCCGAAAATAAACCTAGAATTTTATTAACTTCATCACATTCTGGCACTGTGGCTGAGGAAATTATTACCCTACTGCGAAAATTACATACCCTACCCGTTTGGAATACGGCCATCAATTCGTTCTTATCACAAAAATTATGTGTGGCTGCTGAATTGTTCGGGGAAGATGGTTTAGATTTGCAACACTTGGAGAATGAATATATTTTCGTAATGGGTGTCCTCACCACAATTGGGGGCTGTGATATAAGACCAAGGGTGGGACTTCAAGTGTGCCACGAGGGGACAACAGCAACAATATGTGGTTTCACCACCAAAGGCAAATGTCTGCTAAGCACCGATAATCAATCTTTAAATGGAGAATGCCGTAAGATATCCCTGAGTGCAGCATTGGAAAGTGCCGATTATTCAGTTTTTAGCCTCTCCCGCTTGCCAATGAACGAAATGCTATTGAACTCCTGGTCGGTTTTGTTATATGGTCCAGGCGAACGTAAGGAGTCGGTACCAAATATAATTGATATAAGCCTTCTACGTTCGCAACAAATCCAATTGGCTGTATTAAATGCAAATTGTGTGCTATATCGTCATCAAACCTCATTACGTAAAATACTCAAACAAAGATCTCCGGGCATGTGCTCATATTCATCCGAAGAAAGTATTTCCGATGAAGAACAACCCAACAAGGGAGCAGAAAGTAAACATGACGGTAGCGAGGAACACGATCAAATAAATACTTCATCACAATTTATGATGGGCGGTAGTTCCTCTAATGAAACCGAACTTCTGATACAAAGCATTTTGATTAGGGCCACACAACCCTCACCCGTTAAGGCCTGTTATACATACAGTGAATTAGCCACAGCTGCTTTGAATTGTTCTCAAGTTTTGGCATCGCACGTCCATTCTGAACTGAATGATAATTGTTCGGCTTCGTCGCGTAATGGTGGTGGCAGCATTATGCCTTCAATGCAGGCCACCATGATTCACGGTACTCCAATTTACAATATGGGCGTCTTCGATGAGGCCACGGGTACCAGCTCCGCCAGCATTCCATCAAATATTGAAATTAAAGACTCCGATACGACAATGAATACATCCATGTCATTGATATCACAAATTATGGAAATGGGTTTTAGTAAAAAATCCGTAGAATTGGCTGTTAAACAATTAACTGTATATCCCATGATGCCGACACCTGAACAAATTGTACAATGGATTTTAGAACATCCAGACATATGTAATAATACCATTGATCCTACAGACTACAATGATCCGGCAGAGTTGATGGGGGGACCGGCATCTTCGTCATCAGTGGATGCAGCAACTTCGGTACCGCATCAAAAATTAACCTTGCAAGATCCCGAATGTGATTCAGATAATGACAGTGTCGATACCAGCTCTGACACCGTGGAGGGCTCCTCGGTGCAAGACCATCAATTTAAATACCAAACTCGTAAAGATTTCCAAACAGCTGACCAATATGCCATGTATGTACGAGGCTTGGTGTGTCCCGGCATGATTGTACGTTGCTGCCGTGATTTTGAAGAAATCAAGCAAGGCGATATTGGCACTGTGCTCAAAGTGGACACTGAAGGTTTGCACGATCTGAATGTACAGGTAGATTGGCAGCTGCATGGTAATACTTATTGGGTATGTTTTGTCCATATTGAGTTGTTGGAAAAGCCAGCCGATAAGCTTAGCATCTCCTCGGTGGCCAGCTTGGAAAGTAATGGTGGCGGAATGCCATCTTCCCAGGTGGTAATTGGTTCGCAAGTACGAATGAGAGCAGCTCCACGCTACAAATGGGGCAACATTATGCGTGGCAGCGTTGGCACCGTTACAGCTGTCAATGGGAAAAATGTCTGCGTTGATTTCCCACAACATCCTGGCTGGAAGGGTTCCATAAATGACATAGAAACTGTGGGCACTTCTGCTCAAGGTTGTACCCTTCTAGGACTGAATAGCCACTCCGCTCCAAATGCCAATGATCTCATTGAAGATTGGTCCAGATGTATACGTTCGCTGAGCGTTTCCTCGAATGAATCAACCGCCAAACATTTACTCGATCGTAGTCCCAATTGTTGGCAGAGCTCTTCAAGTACCCAAGGCAAACACTGGATCCGACTGGAAATGCATGAAAATGTTCTCGTACATAGTCTCTCGATTACGGTCAGTCCAAGTGATCATTCGCATATGCCATCGTTGGTTGTGACTCGCGTTGGCGACAGTATTGGCAACCTGAAAGAATATTCCTGGATTTCGATCAAAATCACCGATACCACTGTGGCTCTGATGACCGATGTAAGGCAGTATTATCCCTGGATTGAAATAGTCATCAAACAATGTCGCAACAATGGCATTCAATGTAAGGTGCATGCCCTGAACATAGTTGGACGACGTAAACAAACCGATTTGGACTTAATGCTAATGAATGCCTCCTTCCTGGCATGTGAATATGATAATCTGTCGGATTCCAATCAAAATCTATCCATTTCGTCGTATGCCGATGCCAAATCTTCATCATCCCTTAGCGATCCACCATGTACCGTTATGGTGTGGGGTTTAAACGACAAGGAACAATTGGGTGGCCTTAAGGGGTCCAAAGTGAAGGTGCCCACATTTTCACAAACCATCAGCCGTCTGCGACCCATACACATTGCCGGTGGTTCGAAGTCACTTTTTATTGTGTCCCAAGATGGCAAAGTTTATGCCTGTGGTGAGGGCACCAATGGTCGCTTGGGTTTGGGAACCAGTGCCAATGTCTCAGTACCACGACAAGTTCCAGTTCTACATCAATATGTCGTCAAAAAGGTGGCAGTACACTCGGGTGGCAAACATGCTCTGGCCTTAACTTTGGATGGCAAGGTTTTCTCATGGGGTGAGGGCGAAGATGGTAAATTGGGTCATGGCAATCGTTTGACCATGGACAAGCCGAAAATGATTGAGGCCTTGCGCTCGAAAAAGATTCGCGACATTGCCTGTGGTTCATCACACAGTGCAGCCATAACGTCGGCCGGAGAATTATATACGTGGGGCTTGGGCGAATATGGACGTTTGGGCCATGGCGACAATGCAACACAATTGAAACCCAAATTGGTGGCTGGTCTCAGTGGCAAACGGGTGATACAAGTGGCCTGTGGCAGTCGTGATGCTCAAACATTGGCCCTAACTGAAGATGGCGCTGTGTATTCCTGGGGTGATGGGGATTTCGGTAAATTGGGAAGAGGCGGTTCGGAAGGTTCGTCGGTACCCCATGAAATTGAACGTTTGAGTGGCATTGGTGTTATACAAATAGAATGTGGCGCCCAATTTAGTCTTGCTCTAACACGTACCGGTGAAGTATGGACATGGGGTAAAGGTGACTATTATCGTCTGGGCCATGGTAGTGATCAACATGTACGTAAACCCCAACCCATACAAGGCCTTAGGGGACGTAAAGTTATCCATGTTGCTGTTGGTGCTCTCCACTGTTTGGCTGTCACCGATACCGGCCAAGTCTTCGCCTGGGGTGACAATGATCACGGTCAACAAGGATCCGGAAACACCGTGGTGAATAAAAAACCTGCTCTTGTTATTGGTTTGGATTCGGTATTTGTGAATCGTGTGGCTTGTGGTAGTTCACATTCCATAGCATGGGGTTTGCCACAATCACCCTCAGAGGATGAGAAAAAGGGTCCCGTGCCATTCGCAACCACCAAAGATCCCTTGGGTGGTACAAGTTTGGGTATATATGATGCAGAACCGACAGTGTGTGTGCCGGCGTCGAGCACCAGTGGTAATAGTAAGAAACCTAGCAAGGCTAGTTTAAGCGAAACGTTGCTATCTTTGGAGACGAACGGAGCCAGACAGACGGCCTTAAATTATGTTTTAAATGCAATGAGCATTCTACAGGCTCGGCAATTAATTGTGGCCGCCCTAACTAGTCACAGTAAAGTGAATTTGAACGAAAGACTAAGCAGTGATATTGATACAGAAAGCGGAACCGGAACTGGAGGAGTTGCAGGCGGATTGGGCGGTGGTGGTGGCATGAGAGATACCCTAAGCCATCAAAGTAGCCAACAACAAATTGTAAACAATACGAATGAAATTATAGCTCAAGGTGGGGGTGAAGCTTTGGCAGATGCCTCCGATCCCGCAGTCCATGAACCTTCCCCAGAAGCAGAACTACCTACCAGCGTTATGCCAACAGACAGAGGTTCAGAACGTATACGTTCTGACTTGAGTGCTTTTCATAGCCTTACTGGGTCAATGTCATTGTCGGCGTCGTTGTCGAGTACCGCACCCCATAAACATTCAAAAATGTCTGCCTCAGCAATGTCGGTAATGGCAGCCACGATGAATAACCAAGAAGAGATGATAAACGAAACTTCGTTAACGGGTTTGGATGATTTCACCTCACTACTGGGTGAGTCAGAGGCCAAGAGTTTGGTGGAATTATTGAAATTAAGTGTGGCGGGACGGACGGGACCTTCAAGTACATCGCAAACTATTGCTGAGACCCTCATAGCATTGGGTTCCAACAGCCCGACAATTGGTGCCATGCTACTGGAAACCTGTATAACCGAATTGGAAGATCTCTGTACCTCCCGCTACAGTTTGGGTAAAGTACCCAAACCGGTGATGCAAGAAAGCAGCCATCCTTATGTTGATAATGTCACCACAACCGGTCATGTGAAGATACCTGGAGCAGAGGCTTTACGTCTGGAATTCGATTCAAATTGTTCCACAGAAAAACGCAACGATCCTTTAGTCATCATGGATGGTTCTGGCCGAGTGATCGCCATGCGTTCGGGACGAGAATTTGCCCAATGGGCATCGGAAATACGTATACCTGGAGATGAAATGAAATGGAAATTTACCTCCGATAGTTCAGTTAATGGATGGGGTTGGCGTTTTTGGGTACATGCCATAATGCCGGCCACAACAATGAATGAACGAGGTTCCGACCGGGCAGTACTATCACAACCGTCAATGCCACTGGTAATGGCGTTGCTGGATGAACGTTTGGGTCCCAACAACACCAGTGTCCTACTGCGTTTGGCCGCCGCCTTGGCTGCTTGTGCTCAACTGAACTCCTTGACTACAACACAACGTATTTGGTCTTTAAAGAGATTGCATGCGGTATTGCTAACGAAATATGCCCCCAAGCCATTGGATGCTTCCTTGAATCCAATACTAATGCCTTTGATACCAGAACTCTTGAGGCAATATGAATACGAAGAGCCACAGGTAAGGGGTGGCATCCATTTAATGCATTCCGATTATTTTAAGACATTGGCTGCCCTGGCATGTGATATGCAATTGGATGCCGTCTTGCCACCGGCCGATGTTCACAAATGGGCTTGGTTTAAACGTTACTGCATTGCTGTGCGGGTGGCCCAGTCCCTGATAAAACGTACCGAATTGCCCAAATCATTTTGCATGGAGGTGAGAAAAAAATTTGCCGAAATGATGCCGCAACCGACACAATCGCATACGCCCCAACCGGGTGGTTCCTCGATGATGAACTCGACCACATCGTTGGGATCTTCCACAAGCACGGCTACAAATCCCTCGCCACAACCTTGTCTAACGGCCATGGTAAATACGTTAACACCTAGCACCAGTAGCTTGATACAGTATATAGATACGGTTATGACATTGTCATTGCAGGAGACCGGAGGAGCTTGCGGTGGCAGTGGCGGTGCAGCGTCAGCAGGTCCCATGACACCATGTTCCACGGCCGGCGAGCACATACAATTTATGCATGAAGATCACCACCTATTCAAGACCGAACATGATAGTCAATTGCTGCAATGGCTAAACAGACGTCCCGATGATTGGGCCTTATCTTGGGGTGGGGCAAGCACAATTTATGGATGGGGTCATAATCATCGTGGTCAATTGGGTGGTCTGGAGGGCAGTCGCATTAAAACACCAACACCATGTGAAGCTTTAAGTCTTCTGAGGCCTGTCCAGTTGGCGGGAGGAGAGCAGACCCTGTTTGCTGTGACACCAGATGGAAAACTGTTCGCCACCGGTTACGGTTGTGGTGGAAGACTTGGTGTGGGTGGTACTGATTCTTGGGCCGTTCCCACCTTGGTGGCATCACTGCAACATGTTTTCGTGAAAAAGGTGGCTGTCAACTCCGGCGGTAAGCATTGTTTGGCTCTTACCACAGACGGTGAGGTGTATTCCTGGGGTGAGGGTGAAGATGGTAAATTGGGTCATGGCAATCGAATGGGCTATGATCGGCCCAAACTAATCGAAGATCTTACGGGCATTGGTATTGTCGATATTGCTTGTGGTAGTGCCCATTCCGCGGCCATTACTGCCTCAGGTCATGTTTTGACATGGGGTAAAGGACGTTATGGCCGCCTGGGCCATGGCGATTCGGAGGATCAGCTGAGACCAAAGTTAGTAGAAGCCTTGCTGGGCTATCGGGCCATTGATATTGCTTGCGGTTCAGGTGATGCCCAGACACTGTGTATTACCGATGATGACAATGTTTGGAGTTGGGGTGATGGAGATTATGGCAAATTGGGACGAGGTGGTTCGGATGGCTGTAAGGTACCCGTTAAAATCGAAAGCCTTTCGGGTTTGGGTGTAATCAAAGTGGAATGTGGTTCACAATTCTCTGTGGCCCTTACAAAGTCCGGAGCTGTCTACACCTGGGGTAAAGGAGATTTCCATCGTCTGGGTCATGGTACAGTGGATCATGTGCGAAGACCGAAAAAGGTTGCAGCTTTACAGGGTAAAAAAGTCGTGTCAATTGCCACAGGATCGTTGCATTGTGTGGCATGTACGGATAATGGCGAGGTGTATACATGGGGTGACAATGATGAAGGTCAACTTGGTGATGGTACGGTTAGTGCCATACAAAGGCCACGATTGGTGCATGCCTTGGTTGGAAAACACATTGTGAAGGTGACCTGTGGTTCGGCCCACACCTTGGCGTTGTCAACGTCACAGTTATCGGAGAGGGTAAGACCACCACCAAATCCTCCTTTGGAATATGATTTGGTTAGAGATTTGCCACCGGAAGCCTTGCATGCCCGTCTTGTGTTGCTGCATCATTTCTCAGAACTATTGTGTCCATGCTTGGCCATGCTGCCCATAACAGGTTTGTACAATTATGCTATTTTTTTTTATTGAAAATGGGGAATGTATTTTTGTGTTTGTTCTCCTTTTCCAGGCGAACTTAGTCTGGGTGCTTTGAAAGATGTTCTGGTGTACACCATAAAAGAGGCAGCCTTCCGTAAAGTCATCCAGACCACCATGGTAAGAGATAAACAACATGGACCGGTTATCGAATTGAATAGGATACAGGTGAAACGTTCCCGCAACAAATCCGCGAATGGTTTGGCTGGCGTGGACGGCATGAAAAGTGTTTTTGGTCAAATGGTACAGAAACTGCCGCTTCTGACACAGGAGGCATTGTCTCTGCCCCACCGTGTGTGGAAGGTGAAATTTGTTGGTGAATCTGTAGATGATTGTGGCGGTGGTTACAGCGAATCGATTGCCGAAATGTGTGATGAGCTACAGAATGGTAGTGTACCACTTTTGATTGGTACACCAAATGGCCGCGGTGAGGCAGGGGCAAATCGTGATTGCTTTTTGCTGGATCCCACGCTCACCTCGGTGTTACAAATGAACATGTTCCGCTTTTTGGGAGTTCTTATGGGTATTGCTGTACGGACTGGTTCACCGCTTAGTTTGAAGTAAGTTCGGCTTATTTAGGGTAAACTTTAATGTAATGATCGCTCTCTTCTTTTCCAGTCTCGCTGAACCCGTTTGGCGTCAATTGGCCGGTGAACAATTACGACCATCAGATTTAACTGAAGTGGATCGTGATTATGTAGCCGGCCTGTTGTGCATACGCAATATGGATGACGATCCGAAAGTGTTTAGTACGCTGGAATTGCCATTTTCAACATCGTCGGCCAAGGGCCATGAAGTGCCATTGTCGACACGTTATACCCGCATTACACCACAAAATCGTCATGAATATGTACGCCTGGCATTGAATTTCCGTTTACATGAATTCGATGAACAAGTTAAGGCCGTACGTGATGGCATGTCCAAAGTAATACCCGTCCCACTGCTCTCCCTATTTTCGGCATCTGAGCTACAAGCTATGGTCTGTGGTTCGCCAGATATTCCATTGGGTCTTTTGAAATCCGTGGCTACATATAAAGGTTTTGATCCGAATTCTGATCTGGTACAATGGTTCTGGGAAGTTATGGAGGAGTTCTCAAATCAGGTAAGTTCTACGACAGCCGTTTACATATAAAGAGGAGCCATATATCGTCTTGATATTACGAAGACCGATATGTTTTGTATCTAATATAAAATAGCTCAAAAATAGTGTTAACAACTTGCTCTAACCATCGTTAAAATCATTTTTTTTCTTTTTACTTAAATTTTTAGGAACGTTCTTTATTCTTGCGTTTCGTGTGGGGTCGTACCCGTCTACCACGCACTATTGCCGATTTTAGAGGACGAGATTTTGTTTTACAAGTTTTAGAGAAAAATCCGCCCGATCACTTTTTACCCGAATCATACACATGTTTCTTTTTATTGAAAATGCCTCGATATTCATGCAAGGTAAGCACACATTTCATGTGGAAGTTCCATGTTTCATTAACCGCTTTATTTCTCTTTTTCTTTCCACCTTTCCCCCAGGCCGTTTTAATGGAGAAACTCAAATATGCCATACATTTTTGCAAAAGCATTGACACTGATGAATATGCCCGTGTTGCAATGGGCGATCCCACCGAAGCAACCGGCAGCGAAGATAATAGTGATTTAGAATCTGTAGCAAGTCATGAGGCCTAGAATATGGAAAATAACGATTTCGAAGAAGATGACTACTTCTGAATGCAAAAACGAAGAGGTGGAGAAAAAATTCAAACATTTAATTTATTCATCCGAAAAAAACACAAATAAAAAAAATGGTAGTGGACAACTTTGAAATTAACATAAAAGAAGAAAAAATGATCAAAACAAATGCAACAAGTAGTTGATTTTAAAAAGAAAACAACAAATTGCTACATTTTTGGCCTTTTAAGTGACACAGACACACATATACACAAAGAAGCAAATCGAATGTACAAGCAAACATAATAAACATTGGTAAGTATTTGATTTGATGTATAAATTAAATTTACGTTATAATTACAATTAACACTAGATTGCCGAAGGCGGTCATTTTTACCGTTTTTCAATTACAAGTACAGAAACAACTGTGCATACATAAACACTTTTTTTTTAAAATTTGATGACTTTTTGTACCACATAGAATTACGTTTATTATAAAAAAGTCACAAAATTTTCAAAAGCTGTGTCATACACAGTTGTTTTTGTACTTGAAATTTAAAAACGGTCAAAATGACCGCCTTCGGCAATCTAGTGTTAAGATAACCCCTACAAAATATTTATATTAAAATCCACGCTTAATGCTACGTTAGTCTCACAAAAATGTCTATAAAAATTCATGCTTGTAGGCGCGATATTATGTGAAGAAATTAAAAAAAAAAATCAGCTCATACAGACTCTAACAAAAAATTAATATAAAAATCCACGTCTATAGATTCGATAGTCCTTTAAAAAAATTATTAAAAATCCCCTCTTAAAACCCCTATGCTCCCTCCAAAATATTCACTAAAAATCTACATTTATAGCTCGCATAGAAAAATTAATTAAGAAATCCACTACTGCAACTCCTTTAAATGTTTTTCATATTTTTAAGAACCTATATAAGGCGTGGATTTTTTAAAAATATTTTTAAGGAACTATAGGGTAAATGCACCAATAGTCGGCAGTTCGGATTTTCGCATTTTATAAGGATTTTCGCATTTTTCGCCTATTGGTCTTAAGAAATGTCTTTATAAAATCCACGCCTATAGGTCTTAAGAAATTTCTTTATAAAATCCACGCCTATTGGTCTAAAGAAATTTCTTTATAAAATCCACACCAATTGGCCTTAAGAAATTTCGATTTTTTTAAATATTTTTGAAGGAGCTCAGATAGGCGTCGATTTTTTAAAATATTTTTTAAGGAGCTCAGAAAGCCGTGGATCTTTCAACATATTTTTTAAGGAGCTCATATAGCCGTGGAATTTTAAAATATTTTTAAGGAGCTCAGATAGCCGTGGATTAGAATTTTATTTGGATCATTAATTTATATTCTTAATTATAGTGATTCCATTATTTAATTTTAACAAGTAAAGTTCTGACATCAAGTATATTTTATTAAAAGAGTATTTTTTTAATAAAAAAATAATTTGATAAAAAAAATATTTTTATTGTCTTTCTTTTCAGCACTGCGCTTTGAAAATGTTGCAAAAATTAAACTGATGAATAAACATAAATATTTTAAATATAAAAACAACAAACAAACAATTATTGGAAACATCACAAATTCCCGTACTCTTCTCTCCATTATACATGCAAGAATGATATACACACAGAACAAAACAAACTTAAGCAAAAAACCAAACAAAACTTGAATTTAAATGAAAAAGGTTTGATTTGTTTTTTTATTTATTTTCTGCTTTAGAAAGCGACACACATACAGCTGTTGATGAAAAAGATTTTATTTATGTTACTCTAGTATTCTTTAATATAGTTTCCTTTAATATAATATACACTATAATAAAAAAAACTATTTATTTTTTCTACTCTTAGTATTACACATAGACAAATCCAAGTAAAAACATACATACATACATTATGTCTTTCCAACTAAGAAACTAATAAAGCTCCTTTATATATTAATATACACATCCTTACATCAAACATTTTTTGTATAAGAGAATTGGTATTTAAATGAAATTGTTTAAAAAAGTATATATATAAAAGTATTAAATTGATGTTTAACTTTATCTATTTTTCGCTTAATTTGTTTTCTATATCACCCTTTTCCATCCCCATAACTTGTAACAATTAGTTTCTTTAAGTATAACAAACAATTAAAATGTAATAATTTTTTTAGTATAGTTTAGTTTTTTTCCTTGTATGAATTGTTTTTTTAATTAATTTGTAAAACTACATATAGTTTTAGATAATATATTTTTTAACTTTGTTTTTCATTTTATTAGTTTTTAATTTTTTTAATAATATGTAGTAAAGTCACTACAAGAATTTTTATTTATATCTGTTCTTTTTTGTGTTAAACTTTATAATCGGTAAGCATGCCTGAATTTGATTAAAATATAATAAGTGGGAGATAAGAATGGAGTTTTACTTTTTTTATTAAATTTATTTTCTCCATGAGAAATTAATTAATCGCCACAAGACAGATGGATGTTGATAGAGAGTAATGATGCTTTGTGTTCGGTAAAGTAGTTTATTGTTTTGACTGACTAGTTTGCAATAACAAAATACTAATGGTATCCCAAATAACCTGCCGACACTACTGATATAAGGAATATTTATTTTTTCATGGATATCGTTATGTATGTATGGAAACAACGACTACAGGGTCATAGTTTCTGGAAATATATGTGAAAGATTGAACAGCTATCTATCAGCCTTATTCTGGACATCAATTCACTATTAATTTGTTCGCTCTTCCCTTTAAAGTTATTCTGAACCAGAACCCCCAGCGAATTTTTCGCATTTTCACTTTCCCCTTATTCTAAATCAAGTTCGAAAGCGAAAAAATCCGTTTTGGTGAAAAAGTAGTTATTCTGGATTACAGGGAATGGGAAAATGTAGTTATTCTGGATTACAGGGAATGGGAAAATGTTATCAGCGTTATTCTGAATGTCAATTCCAAGTGATTTTACTCACTTCTTTTCCTCCAACTTATTCTGAACAAAATTTCACAATGAATTTTTTTCTCGCTTTCGCCTTATTTTGAATGAAGTTCGAAAGCGAAAAAAATCCGCTTTGGGGAAAAATTAGTTATTCGGGATTACATGGAGTTGGAGAATGTTCAGCCTTATTCTGGATGTCAATTCCAAGTGAATTCACTCGCTTCTTTTCCTTCGACTTATTCTGAACAACATTTCACAGTAATTTTTTTCGCATTCTCGCTTTCACTGCTTTCGCCTTGTTCTGAATGAAGTTCGAAAGGGAAAAAATCCGCTTTGGAAAAAAATTAGTTATTCCGGATTACAGGGAATGTTATGACATTTTATGCGAAAAATTTCGCTAAGAAATTTAATGGGAGCTGACTACAAAAATAAAGGTATTAAATATTTTTATGAAAAATATATCCACAATAGTTATTCTATGATGATTTTGAATATTATAAATGGTTGTATGCATATTTTTCACTCAAAAACATAAAATAAAATGCATACTCAAGGAAGGAAATAAAAAATATTTAAGCCGAGTTTGAGGCAATTTGGAGGCGAAATAAGGACATTTTCTTTCAGTGAGAATCTGTCTCTCCAGGTAAAAAATATTAAAAATTATGGAAAAACCGCATACCCACATTTGCCCGACGAGCACAATAATAAAGCTTGCAATGGGGCAACACACATTATAACATAAATTACAATATGGCAACACGAATCTTTTTTTCGACCACCATTTTCGAAAATTCGAATCTGCATCTCGCATTTTTTTCATTTAGAATACGGAGAGATTTGTGAAAGTGAAAATTTTTTCGCAAGCGAGATCTCTCCTTAGCGAATATCCAGAATAAGGCTGATAGTCGAAGCCGTCCGACGTTAATCCCCCTCTTTCCTTAGTGGTTTTTTATGATTACATTCATTCTGATGTGTTGAAAATGTTAAAAGTATGACGCTGGTCTATATCTGTTGTCTCGACAGGTTGTGTAACAATAACAATATGAAAGGCTTGAATCCAAACGGTTATTTCCATTGAAGACGGACGAATATCGTTTAAAGATCGATATTGGTATTTGTTTAGATAATTATCTTTACTTGTGTGTGTGCTTTTTTATTTTATTCACATTTATTTCTTATTTTTTTAATTTAAAAAACCCAATAAAAACACTAGACATCAAAATTGGAAAAAAAAACAACAACAAATCCTACATAAATACTCAATACTATCATGTAGTAGTACTAAAAACAAACATAATATTACAATAATCTATACTGAAGTTACTGTGTTAATTAAAGTGAAAATAAATGCAAAAAATAAAAATATAATTTTAAATAATAAGATATATTACCAAACAAAGTATCTATTATTAATGTATTGTAGAAATAAATATGAGTTACATTCGCAAAAAAACACAAACAAGAATAAAATTACAATAATAATAATGTTTAAAAATAACTTCGTTGTTGTAGTTGTTGTTTTATTTATCAATAGAAAAGGAAGTAATATTTGTAGCTAATAAAAAAAAAAACTAAAATCCCTAGTAAGTAGTACAATTAACCATTTATAGATATTATATTAAATATTAAACAAATTATATATTACATTTCAAATTTAATTATCCATTTTGTTATATTTTTCTCTCTTATTTCCAGTATAAAAAAAAATCAAAAATAGTTTTGAAAACTTTACTCTTGCCGCTGTTATCTCTACACCTCCTTATCGTCCATACAATAAACTTCTGGAATTTATCCTTAAATCAAAGTAAAACCGATACATTCTATTCTACATTGGAAATGATGCTTTATCTTAAGACTGACATCATGTTACGTACATACAAACATATTTCAAAATAAATTTACTTTATATCCTTATTGTATTCCTATCTATATATTATCCATATAAGTAATCCTGCATTTTTCTCTCTTATATAATTAATTAATATTGAATAAACAAAAATTGAATATTGTTAAAATTCATATACACACAAATAAACAAAAACAAATATATAAAGCAAACATATTAACAAAGAAAAATATTCTAAAAAATCTAAATAAAAAAAATTAAATTGTATAATTCGTTGAGTTTCTGAACTCAAAACTAGGTTTCTTACACGAATTTCTTACAAGAATCGAGAATTTAGATAAATCATCACTCAGCTATCAAATCGCAGATTTTATGAGAAGCCTTAGGGAGATTTCTCGCATAAAAAAAAATTTCGCATTCACATTCTCGCCTTATTTTGAATGAAAATTGTGGTTGAAAAAAGATTCGTGTGGCCATATTGTAATCTGTGTTCACATTTTGTAATTTAAGTTGTAATGTGTGTTGCCCATTGTAATTTAATTTTGTAATATTTTTCAATATTTTATTTATTGATTTTTTTATTAAACATTTTTATTTTTTATTGTTATTTAAACTTTATAATAATACAACTGTGAAATATCAAGAATCCGCTGTAAAACTGCTATGTAATTAATAGAAAATAAATTAAAGTTTGAAAATATACAACATAAAATATGACATGTGAAACAGCTGTTCACTGTTTTGATGCCATTTGGAGCAACAACTACAACATATTACAAATAAAATAACATTTTTTGTGATGGCAAACACCGCATTGAATGTCAAAGACGCAACGAATAATGGGCAGCAATCTGCGAGTAAATTAAATTAATTCGCAGTTTATTATTTCACTACATAATTGTGTGCCGTCTTATTTAATTTCGATATTTGATCTCTCCAAATTCTTAAAGTAGCCAATTATTTTATGATATGCTCCTTCTCGTCTATTTTGTCCTTCAAATCATATTCAGCAACTCAGCAGGCAAATTTAGCTATGAGCTTTTTCCATCACCCAAACTGTTTTTATTTCGCTTCCAAAATGCGTCAAACACGGCTTAAATATTCCTTATTACCTTTATGCATTCCGTGATACTATTTGGTTGAGCGTGCATCGTTAACAATAGGATTTCCAGTGGCATTTTATTTTTAAATTTATTAGCGAACATTTTCGCACAAAATGTCATCACATTCTCCCACTCACGGTAATCCAGAATAACTTATTTTTACCCAACCCATAAGCGAGAATGAGAAAAAATTTACTGTGAAATGTTGTTCAGAATAAGTCGAAGGGGAAGAGCGAGTAAATTCACGCGGTATTAACATTCAGAATAAGGCAATTATTTTATGATATGCTTCTCCTCCCTTATTTCGTATTTTTGTAGACAGCTCCCTTTAAATTTAGCGAAAAATTTCGCACAAAATGTCATCACATTCTCTCACTGCCTGTAATCCAGAATAACTAATTTTTCCCCAAAGCGTATTCCGAACTTAACTCAGAATAAGCGGAAAGTTAAAATGCGAAAAAATTCGCTGCGAGTTCTGGTTCAGAATACCATTTAAGGGAAGAGCGAACAAATTCACGATGAAGTGATGTCCAAAATAAGGCTTGTTATTTTATTTATAATCTGTTGCAGTTGTTTCACCAAATTGCATCAAAACAATAAAAATTTGTTTCACATGCCGTGCCATATTTTCAAACTTTAATTTATTTTCTTTTAATAACAAAGCAGTTTTACAGCTGGTTCTTGACATTTCACACAATTTCACAATTCTCGAAAAATTTCAAACAACATATAATCACATTCTCCCACTCCCTGTAATTCTGAATAATTAATTTTTCCCCAAAGTGGCTGATTATTCTAATAATTTTTTAAAATTTTGCGTGTATTACTCTGATATGACCACAAAAAATATTGTTAAAAAAATACAATGATTCCATGAATAATATTCTTTATAAAAATCCACGATTATTGCTCTAAATCTTCCTGAATACCTCTTTTTAAAAAGTGAATAACTCAAGTAAGTATTTAAAGGAAACAATTTATAGAAATAAATTGTTTCCTTTAAATATTTTTTGTACAAATTGTATTTATTCAATTTCGATATTTCCGGATGTCATAATTAAAAACCCAAATAAACAAGAGATTGAAAAGAAATGAGGTCTGCAGTGGTCGCCGATTCTGGTAAGACTTTAAATTTATTTCCCCCATGAAATTTATTACAAAAGACCATCCATCTCTTGCAGCCCAACATGACATTGAACGTCAAGGTCGTCATCAAGAATATACAGAATTTGAAAATGATTTGGTGCGAAGAAAATTCATACGAAAAGTCTATTTTATATTGGCCATACAATTGTTGGTTACCATGGGACTAGTAACCCTTCTCGTGTCATCGGATATTTTTTATGAATATATCGAAGAGAATCCAATGTTAGTTTTTGTTGCAATGGCTGCCTTATTGATAACAATGCTGGCAATGGCATGCTTCTCCTCGCTACGACGTAAATCACCCATAAATTATATATGTTTGGGTCTCTTCACGCTGATCCAAACATTTGTTCTGGCAGTTATTAGCTGTCATTATGATACGAAAGTAATACTACTCGCGTGTGGTTTAACGGCCTTAATTTGTATTGTTTTATCGTTGTACGCAATGCAAACGAAATGCGATTTTACCACAATGGGAGGAATTCTATTGATATTTGTATTGATTCTTATGATCTTGGGATTGTCAATGCTATTCTTTCGTAGTCATATTATGATGATCATCTTTTGTTCATTGGGAGTTTTCATCTATTCTATATTTTTAATCTATGATACACAATTGATGTTGGGCGGTCAACATGCCTTTGCAATTAGTCCCGATGAATATATATTTGCTGCCTTAAATCTTTATATTGATATTGTACAAATATTTTTATATTTATTGTATTTAATTGGAAGTGATAATTGAGGGGAAAAACAAATACATATATATTTTTTAATGAAATTATAATTAAAAATCTCTGTTAATTGCCACAAAAATATTGCTAAAAAATCCAAGTAAATTGTTGTGATAGTCCCATAAAAACTATTGTTTAAAATCCACGATTACTGTTCTGATAGTCCCCCAAAAATATTGTTTAAAAAATTCGCGCTTATTGTTCTGGAAGTCCCCCAAAAAATGTTGTTTAGGCTTTGTAATAATTCAAAATCCCGATGCTGTGTTTTTTTATCGCATCCTCCGACCAATGAATGCAATGCTTGACATTACAAGTTGATATTCATTCGAAAAGAATGCAAATATTCTTTTGTATTATTGGAATTAATATCAGTTTCCGGACCAAAGTCAGTGAGATCAGAGGCCAGTCTTAAAGCAAAGGCAAAGTTAAGTGTAATAATGCATTCACTATTCCTACTTTTAAGGTAAAACTAATTCCCTTCTTTAAAAAGTAGAAAAAATCAAATAAGAAAATTAAAATTTCCAGCCTGCTACTGCATTTGGTGATCGCAGAGGAAAATGTAAACAAAACCTGTCAACTGGAACACAAAACGGGAAGTAAATATTTTCCAGAAAACTTCAAATTTGGCGTGGCAACTGCGGCCTATCAAATCGAAGGTGGTTGGGATGCGGATGGTAGAGGCCCATCGATATGGGATACATATACACATGAACATCCGGAAATGATTGTGGATCATTCTACGGCAGATGTTGGACCGGATTCGTATCATTTATTCGACAAGGATTTGGAAGCGTTAAAGGAATTGAAGGCAGGACATAAGAATAGATTTTTTTATTATTTTTTTCTAAACCATTGTGTCTTTTAGGTACACTTCTATCGTTTTTCAATATCCTGGTCTCGCATACTACCCGATGGCTCAATAACGTCAAAAAATAAAAAAGGCATTGATTATTATAATATGGTTATTGATAAACTATTGGCCAATGGAATTGAGCCTGTGGTCACAATGTTCCATTATGATTTACCAGCCACTTTAAATCTATATGGTGGCTTTACCAATCTACTACTGGTAAAATATTTCCTTGATTATGCCAAAATTTTATTTGACAATTTTGGCGATCGTGTTAAAGTTTGGATTACCTTTAATGAACCATTTGATTATTGTATGCCTGGTTATGGGGCGGGAAATTTTCCACCGATGGGTAATGATGCTGGTATTGCTGATTATCTCTGCATGGACACCACTTTAAAGGCCCATGCTGAAACATATCACCTCTATAAGAGAGATTATTTTGAAAAACAGAAGGGTAAAATTGGCATAACCATAAGTTCCAGATTTTATTATTCCAAAACGAATAATACAACAATTATTGATCGTGCAATGCAGTATTCGGTAAGTAACCTCATACTAATATATATATATATATATATATCTTCTCCTCAGTTAGGTTGGTTGGCCTATCCCATATTTGGTGAGACTGGCAATTATCCCCAACTAATCATAGATGATATTGCTGAGAATAGCCGTAAAGAAGGAAGAACCTACTCTCGCTTACCAGTCCTCAATGAACAGGAAAGGGATCTTATAAAACATTCTGCCGATTTTCTAGGTTTAAATTATTATACTTCGCGTTATGTTGAAATGGCAGAACCACCTAGAGGCAAACAACCATCATGGGATTATGATTCACGTTTAAAGTATTCATTGGATCCGAAATGGAAGAGAGGGAAATCATCATGGCTTTATTGTGTGCCAGAGGGTCTTGAAAGTCTTTTGAAGTAAGTAAATTAACACTTAACTAACACATTAATTTTTGTAAATAGGTTTTTGAAAAAATTGAAAGTTTATTCTCAAAATTTTGTTTTTATATATTTTATACTTTCAGTTGGATCCGCCTTAGTTTCAATAACATTGAGGTTATGATAACTGAAAATGGCTGGTCAGATGATGGACAATTGGATGACACCGAACGCATAGATTATCTAAAGGTTTAAATTTTTATTTTTGATTATTTTTATTTATTCAAGATCTTCGATTTATAGGCTCATTTACAAGCAGTTTTAAACGCTATTAATAATGGATGCAATGTGACTCATTACGCCCATTGGAGCCTTATAGATAATTTTGAATGGCAACGAGGTTATACGTAAGTACACAAGCAAATGTGAAATGATATATTTAACAAAACTAAGATATACAAATATTTCTAAAAATTACCTCTTTGGTTTGAGTGATAAATGTTCATTGGACAATACACGTATACACTAAAAATTTTATGTTGGAAATTTAATCGGGAGGTCTTTAAAAATAATATAAAAAATTTTAAAAATACAGCTCTAATGTCAAAAATCTTCGTTTTTATCTCCGAAAATATAATTAAAAATCGATGATTATTGTTCGGATAGTCCCTAAAATATTCTTTAAAAATTCACAATTATTGCTCAATAATATTTATTAACCCCCACATATTTTTCTCGAAAAGTCCCTGGAATTTTTTTTTTAAATTTCTGGAGTATATAGGTCAATTTTTTCGGATATCCCCCATATAAGGGTACCCCCCAATTTCGGTATTTTGGGGTTCTTGAGCGCGCTTTTCAACCGAAATCGCTGCAATTTTGTACATTGGGTTCATATTGCGTACCAAATATCTCTACTAAAAATTATAAATATCGGCCCACTTTTTCTGGTAGCCCCCATATAAGGGCACCCCAAATTTTCGGTATTTTGAGGTTCTTAAGCGCGATTTTCAACCGAATTCGCTGAAATTTGGTACAGTGGGTTCATATTGGGTACCAAATATCTCTTTTTAAAATTATAAATATCGGTCCACTTTTTCATTTCAAATACCTGTCAGTATACCTGTGGTGGAGGGTATCCAAAGTTCGGCCCGGCCGAACTTAACGCTTTTTCACTTGTTTAATAGTAAAGCTAGTAAAAGGGAAACATTTCAAGTCTCAGAGTACAAAATAATTTGAAAAGTTCGGGAACGCAAATCTAGTAAATATGCCAATTCTTTTAGGTTTTGGAACGGAGCTAACGAATGGGAGGAGAAGACAAAATGGCCGATAAAGATGAACTCAAAATGGTATAACCGAAAGTTTACGAATGAGGTGGGATAGAGACTAAATGGAAACCGTGTTGTTTACGAATGAGGTTTAGGCAAATTATGATTAGGGATAAGTAAATCGACTTTTTGTATTGAAAAGTCTAAAGACGAGCGTTGTTCCCTCTCTCATTCGTGGTTCGACTCTTAATTATGAAGTAATTACATAGTTCAAAGGAACTACATTAAGGAACTAGTTCCTTTTTAAAAAAGAAACTAGATTGCCCAACTCTAAAATGTGTGCTTTCATTGCAAAAATTGCGGATGCGTCTTTGTTTCTTTATAAAGGAGTTGCCAGATCGAAACAAAATTTAACATGTGCATAACAGAGATGGAAATTTTCAAAAACACTTTTTGTGCTAGGCTAAGAACTTTCGGAACTGCCCTCGTCATTATAGGTTATATTATGTATTGTATACATAATAAATTTATTAGAATTATGCTTGTAAATAAATATATATATTTTTAATAAAAATATTAATTTTTAATTCATTTTGATTCGTATTTTCAGAGAAAAATTCGGATTGTATTATGTGAACAGCGGCAGCGTTAATAAAGATCGTATTGCAAAATATTCTGCCCGTTATTATAAAGGTGTTATTAAAACAAGAAGTCTTCAGTTGGAAAATTTTTAATTACAAAAATAATAAATGTAAAATTATAATAAAATATAAGTAAAGGTATATAAATAAAGGAAATAATATATTTTTTTAAGTACTTGTAATAATTATAATTGTAGTGATATTATGTTTAACGACAGAATTACCGACAATTGTCTATAACAGGGAGAAGTAAAAAAAAAATTCGAAAATGGTGGATGAAAATAGATTCGGGTTTGCTATATTGTAATTTAAGTTGTTATGTGTGTTGCTCCCATTGTAATTTATTTTTGTAATATTTTTCTAAATAAATTGGGTATGTTTAACGACAGAATTACCGACAATTGTCTATAACAGCAAATTTTCATTTTTTAATTAATGAAAATGTTCGGTAAGTTATCGCCCAAATGATTAGGGAGAAGTAAAAAAATTTTGATTTGAATAATTTTATCATTAATATTAGAAAACACAATAGCAAACATTAACTGCAACGTACATTTACGCATGTCTACATTGCGTTTGCGTATTGTATACTTACAACTCTGTGTGATAACATTGTGTGTCGATAATGCAGTTCACTTGCAAATAAATAATCTATTAGGGAGGAAAATAATAATAAATTAAAACCATAGAAGAAATAACTATGTGTCTGAATGTGTTAATATTCAATTTTTTATTGATTTTTGTTTAAAGTTGTAGACTTTTTTATTTTCCCGCCTTCTACAGATTTTAACAAACATCGAATTCTAGAAACCTACCAACAAACATTTTCGATTTCTCGTACCCAAACTACCTTTGTCCTTTTGTTTTGATTTCTCATCTTTATCTGCAATTTTCGCTGTATCCCTTTTCGTATAATTTAAATGTATGTATGTGTGTATTTGCGTGTAAAAGGGACGAGGCGTCGTTTAGTTCGCGGAGAGTCCTTCAAATTTAAAAATAAACAAAGGACGATTTTGATTTTGTTTTTTTAAATCGGTTTAGTCTAGTTCGTGTGTAACAGGAGTAAAGAGGTGTTCTTCGTATTAATATGTTATCATGGATCAACGAAAAAATTACTTGTCCTTAATGTTATTGGATGCTTTGGAGGATGAGAATGAAGGGTTGGTTGGTTGTTATGAACAAAGTGTTTTTTTTAATAAATTTCACTGTTTTAATAAATAATATAAAAAAATTATGTTTTCAGGGATATTTATTTTGTGCTGGATCGTAATGTGGAAACAATTGATCCTGGTTTTGTGCCTCAAGATCGTGGTATAGCACCCTTGCATTATGTCTGCGGCATGTCCAATGAAAAATTGGCCATTGATATAACCAAACGATTTTTGGATATGGGTGGTGGGTATTAATTGAAATTAGAAAAAAAATAAAAAAAAAACAATATATTTTTTAAATATGTTTGCTTTTAGCTGATCCCAACTGCAAAAGTGAAGATGGCATGACACCCTTGCATGTGGCCGCTATGTATGGTAAAGTGGATATTGTGCGTTTATTATTGGTGAGTTTTGACTGTACACAACACAAGGTATTTACATATTGGTGAAAACTACCTTGTTGGCAGATGTTGGGATAAACCCACAATTCTTTTTTTATGACCGTCTGTTTAACACCTTTTCTATTCCTGGGATAATTTGTTTATTCATGATAAGACATCTAAAGGAAATAATTTTTATTTGTTTTCAGCAACATGGTGCCGATTTGGAGGTCTACGATGATGAAAATAAAACCCCCGTATTATATGCTATTGAAGAATGCCAATTTGAGGTAGTACAAATTATGAGAGATCACATATTTCTAAATAAATACGCCAAAAAGAAACACATGAACTCCATATTGATGTCGGAGAGTAAATTCGAATATTCGCTAAGTCGAAAATCACTGAATAAACTTTCAACGCCGGTCCGTTCTGCAAATGCTAATAGAATAGAAAAGAATACAAGTCCTCCTCCTGCTGCAGTTCAGTGTATAAATAAAAATCTCTTAAAAGTAGCTGGACTCAATGAAACTCCCAATCAAATCCATGGAAGAGACGAATGTACAGGAAGTCCTGGTGGCTTGGCTGACAGTGGAAAATATACACCGAATCGTATTAATTATAATTATGATGTTACCTCACCTTATTATATTAATATAACACATCGTAGGCATAGGCCACAGCCAAAGTTCCCCGAACCAAAACCAGTAGCGGAACCAGAACAAATAGAACCAACAACACAGATTGAGCCTGAAATATCACAAAATATAGAACCTGAAGATAACCTTGAGGACTGTTTACAGCCAGATGAAGAAAACGACAACGAAATTGATAATATCTTATCCATTTCCATGCAAGATATTCGCGAAACAACACCCGAGCCGGAGGAGTATGAAGAATCGGTAAATATTTTCTCATTAACCAAGGAAAATTTAATGGAGTTAACCCAACGAACAAGAACCAATGAGAAAACAAAAATTTCCCTCATACAAACGTGGCGTGATAAGGTACAAAAATCCCGGGAACGTAATTCAATACTTACCAATTTTGATGATATGATGGATGCATTAGAGGAAATTAAACAGAAATCAGAAAAGGATAATGATGATCCACAGATTGCAATAGCTGAACAAAAACCCCACAACAATACAACCGTTGATAAAAATGCCAAAGTCATTGAAAATGATAGTGGAGCTTGTGATACCACCTCGACATCCTCATCATCAGATATGGAAATAACACAATATCGCCTCTTGCCACAAGAACAAAAATCTCTAAATGAAAAATCAACCACAACGATAACAAATCTTTCCATAAAACCCAAAAATACCATATCCTTTGTTCAAACCAAATTGGAAACCCTTAAAGAAACCTCATTCGATGAGGAACCCATTACAATAAACGAGGTAACGACAAAGACACCATCACCTCAACAAGATGGCATTACAGATTTAGATAGTAGTTATAAGACAGTACCCGAAATTAAAATTTTTTCTCCACAAGCCAATACCAAAGCCGACGAACAGAATACATCAACGAATTTTATACGTTCACCGAAAAACCATGAATATTTTCTACAAATGGCCGAAGCGTATGTTCACACAGACGATGAAAACGGTATGGTCTTCTATGAAACCCGATTGTTAAGTAATGTGGGTAATAAGGTGGCCAATCAACGGAATCCAGAGTAAGTTCAAACGGAATGACTTTTGTTATATCTATTTTAATGAGTTATTATTGTTGTTCTCTCTTTTTTTAGAACTCCTCGAAACCATGACATTAACAGCTCAATGACATCCCAATCTACCAATGTCACCTTACCTTTGGACTATGAGACTGACACACTACGTGCTGAATTGACAATATTTGGTGATCCTCCAGGTCCCATAACGAAAACAACAAAACGTTTATATTTGAAACGTCTTATGAAATATAAACGTAAAACCGAATTGGTCCAGGAAATTAAATCGCGTCAGAAAGAAACCGAAGCAAGTAAGTAAAGGATTTTAATAAACGTTTTTATTTCAAGGTTGAGGTTATTTTTTTGAATTGAATTATTTTTAAAGGGTTCAAGCATGGATTTTTTAAAGAAATATTTTTGAGGATCAAAGCGTGGATTTTTTAAAGAAATATTTTTGAGGGTCTAAGCGTGGATTTTTTAAAGAAATATTTTTGAGGGTCTAAGTGTGAATTTTTTAAAGAAATATTTTTGCTTGCTTTTATTAAAAAACATATATATTCACTGTCTTGAAAATACTCTTCTTGAGGACTATTTTTTTTAAATTTTATTTCCAAAATTTATTCATTTCATTTTTGTTCAGCAAAATGTTTATACAAAATTTTCTCCTAAAAATTATACCATTTTCTCTTAAAAATTTGCGAAATGTTGCAAAATTTGCCGTTCAAAAGCAAACCAAATCAAGTTCGTTCTTCTTAAAAAAAATAAATAAGTGTAAAATGTCATATATTTGCCTTTATTCGATTTCAGAATTTTCTGTAGAATTACAACGGACCACAAAATCGGAAGAGAATTTCCTGCGCATACAGGACTTTATGAAATACGAGACGCAATCGATGCAATATTTTGTTCACAATCAAGATAAGAAACGTATGCGCGAGGGACATTTGAAACAAAGTTTTATTTATATGTTAATTGATCCACGAATATCATGTAATTTACCGGGAGAAAGTGCGGTATGTAAACTGATTGTGGTTTTCAAAAATATTTTTATGTTTATTTATTGTTTTTTTTTCATTATTAGTTTTTGGAAAAATTTGATGTCTGGCAAAGATTTTTGCAATCAATATTCTATGTGGGTAAGGGTAAAACATCCCGGCCATATTCACATCTTTATGATGCCATGAAGGCCCATGCCAAAATGCACAATAAGGATGCTCCTGCTGAGATATGCAGTAAAACGGGCAAAAAGGTTTCAAGTAAGTTGTCATCAATAAATGTAATTTATAAAAATTTGAAATACTATTTCTTTTTTGAATAAAGAAATGAAATTATAAATAATAAAAAAAAATTTCTTTTTTGTTCCTTTCTTCTAGTCAAAAAGAAACCCCTAAATGTGGAAATGTTCAAATCACCACCCGAAAAATCTTTGGATAGCAAAAAACTAGATCGCATTTTAAATATATGGGGTAATGGTTATGGCGTGGTTTGTTTACATGTCTTCCATAATATTGTGCCAACCGAAGCGTATACACGAGAGGCGGCCATAATTGATGCCTTAAGTTTACAACATTTGACAAATTGCAAACGGGGTGACTATTATGGCCCAGCAAAATCATGGTCAATGAAAGAGAAAAAATATCTAGGTATTGCATTACTATTTAAAGCAATGCATATCTATTTGGCTGAGGGTGAATCGCAATTATCACCTGGTGATCTCGTTTAGGAAATAAAAACATATTGGTATTATCATGGTGTGTGGACAACCATATAAAAACAATGTATCTGTGATGCTAGTTTTCCAAAGTAATTTTTAAGAGTGTGTGTGTTTTTGTGCATGAGTATATAATTGATAATCCAAAAGTGCATCTGCAAAATTTTTTTCTGATTTGTAAATTTTTTATATATAATGTTAGCATATTTTTGATATAATTATTATTTTTTCCTAGTAGACAATTAAAGATCAATAAAGTGTATACTAATTTATTAGATATTTTGTTTGAATTTCTGTAAAGAGATCACAATAGATCGCTATGAAAAGGAATTAGTTTAACACATGAAAGATTTTTTTACTTTAAACTAGGAGTGTGGTGTGATTCTAGTGATAGATGTAAGTTTATATTTATTTTAATAGGCAATAAACAATTGAATATTAAACAATACTTTTTGTAGAATTATCATGCCTAGAAATCATGGATTTATTAAACGATATTTGTTTACGGACTATAAGAGCCATAAGTGTGGATTTTTAACTATATTTTTTGAGTTGTCCTATAGACGCCATACCCTCAGTATTCCTATAATAATAAATAATTATAAATCAATCCTATAATAGTCAGCAATTAGTACTAGAAAAAAATCCTTTAAAATTCTACTATATAATAATACAGTTATCCTTGTGTTTTTAATGTTAAAAAAAATAAACTTCAAATATTTGTTTCATATATTTATAAAAACTACATCACTGCCATTATCCAATAGTGAAAGTTTCATTCAAATATCTCTATTCATCGCCGAGTTATGGTCCTTTGAAATTGATTATGTCAAAATATAGCTGCTACACGATTCTGTTTGCCTGGTACGGCAAATGGGAAAACTGATTAAATTGCAATTCCACAAAAACAGAAGAACGTTGGTTGGATGTGTTGCCGAATTATTTATTGTGTAACGCCTGAAAGTATGCTCATAATTTTGCAAACTAACATGGAAGAAACACAAAGCAAACAATCTGGCAATACCTCCTGTATTTTTCTGTTTTTGTGGAATTACAAGATCTTCAGTTTTTCCATTTGCCGTACCAGGCAAACAGAATCGTGTAACAGCTATATTTTGACACATGGTCAATTTCAAGTGGCTATAACTCGGAGATGAATAGAGATATTTGAATGAAACTTTCACTGTTTGATAGGGACAGTGATGTAGTTTTTGTACAAAAAATATGTATCCAACGTTTTGTTTTTTTTTTATTTATCTAAAAACACAAGGATAACTGAATTTTATAATATTTTTTTCAAGAACTAATTAATGAAAATTATATTGATCTATTGATGCAATAGATTGAAATCTATAGCAATAAATTACAATTTCAGTCTTTATTAAAAATTCGAAAATTTTCAAATATTTTTTTTCGTAAAATATTTGTCCTTCTTTTTTGTCGTTTTGTCTCGAAAATAGTTATGAAATCGTTGTGTTTGTTAAATTTCCGTCGCCTTTTCTCCTCTCTTGTACGACAAAATTTCGCCAAAGAATGTGAAGATGCTCTAAATAAACAAATCAATTTGGAATTGAATGCCTTTTATAGATATTTGGCAATGGTAAAATAGATAAAAATCTTTTTTTATTAAAAAATTCAAACGATTTCTGTTTTACAGGCCTTTCACTTCAATCGCTGTGATGTAGCAGCACCGGGAGCATATCGTTTTTTCAAAACAGCCAGTGATGAAGAACACCAACATGCGGTGGCAATTATTGAGTATATGAATAAAAGAGGTGGTCATATAAAATTAGCGCCAATTGATAGTCCGAAACAAGATTATGAATCGATTAAAGAAGCTATGCTGGAAGCATTGAATATGGAAAAGGTGGTTAATGAGGTAAAAGATGTAGCAATGTAGTTTACATTTTGATTTGTTGGCACCTTCATTTCCACGCATTTCAGGCCCTTCTGGACGCCCATGCCATTGCATCGAAACACAATGATCCAAATATGTGTGATTTTTTGGAATCGAAGTTTTTACAAGAACAAGTGGATGGCATAAAACAACTCGCCGATTATATTACACAAATTGAGACGTCCGAATGTGAGCTAAGTAATTACCTGTTCGACAAATATCTGCTAAATGATAGCCGATCTATGCACAAGAAATAATTTCTATTATTTTTAATAAATACATTTGTTTATTTTGTAATAAAAAATATTGTATAAAAATAGATATTTGTTTAATCTTTAAAGTAGTTTTTTTTTCTGGGGCACTGTTCACTATTTTATGTGGCTCCGCTTATGTGTTTTTGAAAATCGTCTGTACATTATCACTTTAGTTTGATTATAGATTAAGAATTTGTGTTTTACAATTTGTTATTGCAATAAAAAGCTCAAATCGGCATTTGGTTCATATTCAACGGGTTCTTGATTGCTGGAAAATAAAGTAAACAAAAATTGAATTATATTGGGAATTTTATAATGAAAGTTATATGTGGATACAATGACGTTAATGGGTATCAATATTAGTGTTTTTCATATCAATAAAAAATTAAAAGGTATGCTATAAATCTCTGTTCATTTGTTTTATCTACAGACCAAGTGGTTTTTATAATGACATGTGGCCTATATACAGATCAATTGGTCTATATAAAGATCTGTGGTCTATATACAGTCCAATTGGGGTATATAAAGACCTGTGGTCTCTATACACCTAAGTCTGTTTTTTTCACGGTTTTGATATAACACGGTTTGAAAATTGAATATTTTAAATTTTTTTAGACGATTTTATTCCATTTGAAATTTTATGTACTTAATTTTTTTAATTAATTTTGCGAAGTATGTTCATATCACAAAAATGTATTTATGAAAGAATTTGCGAACACTTTAAATATTTAAGTGAATTCCCCTATAGCGCGTACAAACAATTTTTACTGGTCAAAGCAAATGTGAATAGCACTAATTTAGGAGAATTCCCTTTATATATAAGATCATTGTATGTTTTACGCGGATTCTTCTGGAACCAATATACCGTGTAAAAACAGACTTAGGTGTATAAAGACCTGTGGTCTTTATAGACCAATTGGTGTATATAAAGTCCTGTGGTCTCTATACAGACCCATTGGTCTCTATACAGACCCATTGGTCTCTATACAGACCAATTGGCCTTTATAAAGACCTGTGTGTGGTCTCTATACAGACCAATTGGTCTTTATAAAGATCTGCGGTCTGTATACAGACCAATTGGTCTTTATAAAGACCTGCAGTCTCTATACAGACCAATTGGTATATATAAAGGTCTGTGGTCTCTATACAGACCAATTGGTATTTATAAAGACCCTGTGAAATTTTGTATTTCCAGACAAATACTTACGGTCTAAATAATTTCGCCCGTCTATCACCAACCAATGTAGCCTTCTCCCCCTCCACCAGCAGGGCAGTACCCTCGCGTAAACCCAATACACCACGTGATTGTGTTTCATATTCCAAATATTCATTAATACGTTGATCTCGAGTCTCGCCCTTGTGTTGGGTATTTGGGTCGGTTTCCAAATAATGTGGATTAATATTGAACGGTACCAAGTTGAGAGCAACAAATGTGGGTGGATATGCCACTGGCATATCATTTGACGTATTAATAGATGCTGTAGCAACATTTGTACCAGCACTACTACCCATATAGGGTATACCATGATTTAAAACACGATCCCTTATCACATCCACAAGATTATTTTCATACAAAGTCTTGAGAAGAACAAAGGTATTTCCACCACCAATGAATATGGCCTCAGCCGTGTTAACGGCCTTAACTGGATCCTCCTTGGTATGGAGACCTTCAACCTTGTAACCCCATGGTGTGAGAGCTTCACGTACAGTAGCCGTATACTTATCATGATCTTTAAGGGCATAGGGTACAAAGAGTATAGTTTGGACTTTACGTCTGGAAATACAGGAGGTTGGAATGTTTTCATTATTATTAAAAAAAAACTAACTCCATAATTGTCCACTTACTTATTGAAAAAATTAGTTATGTCAGTTTTGGCATGTTCCAAAAAGCCATAACCATGTACCCGGGACGAAGACAATAGCAATAGAGATCGCTCGGCCATTTTTATCACTGTCTGCATGAATACTGTTGGAAAATAAAATAACTTTGACCGAATTTACAATTGAAAGTAACAATAATTGAGTTTATCTCGCCGAATGGCCCGTGCCAAGCTGATAAAGTCGAAACAACTTGAAAGTTTGACTCACGAAATAAAAATCGGCGGAGGCTATGCCGAGCAAATTTAAAAACGTTCCATACGATGTACATGGACCTACATACATTCATATATATAGATGATTACGAATGAGTGTGATGCATAATGATAATAATGTTTAGAACGTGACATGGAAAAATAAGAAAATCAGCTAATTGATTTAAAACAAAATGCCGGTTTTAAAAGATGCATTTCTCTGTGTATTTTTTCATATTTCGGTAATAGGTGCCCAGCAGCGTACAGTATGTATATTTCGGAATATCTTTGAATTCAAATGCAAATAACTCATCGACCGATTTTCATACATTTTATATAAATTTTTATAGGGATTTCTAAATTTTCGCTTAATATTGGATTAAAAAAAATACCGAATTTAGAGGTACTTCATTTACATTTGGTAAAAACACGACGATGTACAGAATTTGAGTGAAATCCGAAATTCTATTCGATTGGATTAATAAAATTCGAAACTTCAATATCATGTCGAAATGTATGGATGAGCGCTGTTAATGAACAAATTTCCAGCTTGAAACGTAACAACACCGGTTTTGTGACGGAGCTACCTACTTCGACGAGTTGTCAAACTCGTACTGGGCGCGACTTCCCGGGTAGCGGATGGGAAGGGTGTTTTTACTATGTACAGGGTGGAGCTGACCTAGTTGAAACTAGGCCGGGGCTTTTCTCTGCACTTCGTGGAAACCTTGGGGAACTTCGGATCCCCGTGGACCAAAATGGATCGGAGTAGTTCCCTTAAAATAATCAACTAAGATTTGGAAAAAGAATAGGATAAATAAAGTTACGGTTCAGGGGGTTAATAACCCAGTACCGGCGGCAATCGTTGGTGAGACCACAAGCCACGTGTCGTTGAGATCAAGCGACAGTCTAGAGAAACAGAGTTGGGAACTCTTCGAGATTCGTAAGGAAGTTTAAAAAAACTTACCCGCAGGCTCTTCATGGAGAAGACACAAACAGCTCGATCAAAAATGTCAATGGAGACCTCTGATTCGAGAAAAGTAGTAGAGTTGGCGGAGCCCACTGTCTCTGACAAAGGTGTGGAACTGACTTCTAATGGAGGGCAGCGGCTTTATTTTTTATTTATCTTCTCGTTTATGTAGATGATCTACTAATTTGTACAAAGAACGACAATATTTTGAATATGTTTATAAAGGTTATACATACATATTTTGAAATTAAAAATTTGGGAAATATGACATCTTATTCAGGTATTCAAATTAATCACAATTCCCGAGGAGATTTCCAACTACATTGAAATGAGAAAATATTCAACTTATAAATGAGACGAAATTAGAAGAAGGAAAATGTTCAAGGGATCCAGAATTTCCCAATATAGTAAATTATGAAAACTTTCTACAAAATAATGACAGATACCGATCTATTTTAAGGATGTTTCTTCAACTATCAATCACTACTAGACTAGACATAGCCGTTTCCATTTTATGTCGAAAAGTTGAGACTCCAAGAAAATGCGATTGAGAAAATGCTAAGAAGGTCGTTAGATATTTGAAGGCAACAATGCACAGCATTCGGATTTAAATATCAAATGCTACACAGATTGGAGAAATGAGATCGAAACTCAACTAGTGGTTGTCTAATTTTGCTGGGTGGCATCGCAACATCATGGTCTTCAAGGAAGCAGTCAACAATTGCGTTATCATCTACAGCGGCTTCCTATGCAGCTCAAGAACTATTGTTGATCAAGCAATTACTACATGATATGTCAATTACAATCTCATATCCGATTTCTATGTATGAAGACAACCAATGTTGTATTAAGATCATAAAATCTCCAAAGTTTAGTTCATGAACCAAACTTATGTTAAGTATCATCACCTAAGAAATTTAGAGTCTGATGGTGTAATTGATTTATTGTATTGTTCAACATATCAACAACGAGCTGATTTCTTGACCAAAATGTTGGATTTATCTAAGTTTAAGTTTTTAATTAATGATTCATATTGTTGAGATGGGATTTTAAAAATACTTGTTTCAATTTAATTATCAGCAAAATACTTTATTAATATGTTTTGATATAATAGGGGGCCCCACAAGAAAAATGTATAATCAACAGATACCATTAACTTGGTACTTGTTATAGTAGCACGATACTTGCCATTGCTATTTTGTAATTAATTTCCACATAAAACAATATATGTTTTCTTTTTTTTAATACAATATATACACACATTTTATTACTTAATAATAAACAAAAATATACAACATTTTTGGAAAATAAATTACATATTTGTTTTTTATATAATAATAATAATAAACAGTAGCAAAATTAATTTTAAAATCTATATTTACATAGAAAGGCAAATAAAACATATAAATAAGTTAGGAAAAAATAGAACTAGATTATAGGAATACATCAAAAGAATAGTTGGAAACAATAATTTTAAATAGGAAAAAATACCTTTTTCATTTTTTCAACTTTCAACATTTCAAAACTTTGGTGAAAAACTCTTTTTTATTTGTTTTTTTAATTATTTTTATAAATGTATTTTTTTTTAATTTTACAATTTATGTGTATGACTCTTGTATCATTTTTTATTTAATTTTTTCATAAATATCAAATTTTGATAGATATAGAGAGAGGTAGTAACATCTAAGGCAGTCATATGTTTTAAATAGTATTTTAATAATAACGAAAATTATATATTATAAAAAACAAACAAAAGTCCACAATTACAGATCTACGAGTATGGAATTATAATAAGCAATAAAATTATTCGGAAATATGCATATATGTATATAGTAGAAACACAGGCCTTTTTTCTTCTTCTTGTATATCTATTGAATATAACTAGTTTATAGGAAAATAAAATGTAGATTTGACTTAGAACAATAAAAGCCCATTTGTCGACATATTTTGTATGATTCTGTATTTTAGATATTTAAAAGAATGAAGAAGAAGCAGCATTCTTAGATTATTACCAAAAATATTACAAGGAACTTTTATGAAGACCGTGGAATAGTTGGTACAAAAAACATTGGAATTGGGATTTATGCTTTATTCGGTGTTTATTTCAAAATGTCCTGAAAGGTTGCTGATTCTCTGTTTCTATTTTAGGTGTAGGAACTTTTGGATATTTTTTGTATTTCATTTCAAATTCCTAAAACACAGAAACATGATTTGATTTTTCAATTAAAATCTATAGGAATAATTTACACAAAAAAATATAAGCAAGATTTTGGCAAATTAAATGACTTAAATATATGTATATGAATATGAATGTAAATAATTAATATAGCATAATTACAATATCTATATATGTATGTGTATATTAAATTATTTGAGCATTTGATATAATCGTTGGAGTTTTGTAACATTGGGTTTGTCTATTTTCTGTTTTTTTCATAAAAGAAAATTGTAGACATTTGGCAAATTTCATCGATTTGGAAATTGATGGCTACGGAATTTTTTTAAATACCAATTAGAAATATTGAAATTTCCACAATATTATGGAGTTAAATTAAATATGGAATTGAATTAACAAAGTGTGTTCTGTCTCAGAGGTTTTATTTTTTTATCATTATGTGTACCTTCCAAATCAATTGCTGTTATTGGCCACATAACGAAATTACCGCTACATCTCTTAACTTTATATATAAATAATTCTACATATTTACAAAAATTATATAGTAATAATAATAATAATGACAACAAACAAATACAATGGATATTTTTGTGTGCATGAAATTATTCAAGAAATTAAATAAAAAAGAATTATTAATAAAAATTCCCTAACTACAGACTAAAAAAATACTTGACTCAGTTATATAGACGACTTGACGCTAATAGTTAGCTACACGAGGAAGATATAATTTCATATGCATATATATAAAAATAAAACAAATTAATAACAACAAACACAACACCAAGAGAAGGAATAAAGAAAGTTTGGTTTTTAGTAAATCCACTTTCCCTCTTCCCTCCCCCAATCAAGTGTCTCATTTGTGTATAATACTTTTATCTTCGTAACGTATTATGGCATCGCCGATATGTTTTCTCGATGCCAAATGTATGCACTTATGTTCATCTGTTGTTGTCGTCGTACTTCGTTGTTTGGCATTTGAGGGATCTTCAGCTGCTGCTGCTGCCTCCGCTTGATCATCTTCTCTATTGTCTAGTGGACATTTTGGTATTGGTTTCGTTTCATAACTTTGTCGATCGATGAAATTTTTAATGGCTCCACCATAACGCAGATTGGGTTCAACACCACGCAAAATATGTACCGGCAGCTGTGATCCGACAAACATATCAAGAACATTGTTGATTTTTTTGTTTGGTCGTGTTAGCAGCCGTTCAATATCGTTGTCCGAACGTGTTATCGGTACAGATGCTTCAATAATTTTGCGAGCTGAAAAATGGAAGAATATATTTATTAGAATATTAAAATAAATTTAGAAGGTGGTCTTTATAGACAAGCTGAAGGGAATCTTTATAGACGAGCTGAAACGAGTCTTTATAGACGAGCCGAAAGATGTCTTTATATACGAGTCCATCAAATATCTTACTTTCTACCTTTCTTTCTCCCCACACTTACCTTGAACATAATCACGACTATAAAACGATACAATATCATAATTCCATTTATCAAAGTACCCTGTACTTTGGCTAACATCACATGTTTCACATTCCTTACAAAATCCGGCAAGTTTACATGGGTACATCATGAAACCAATTGGCGAATAGACCTGGAAGCCTTGGATGGTATTCATGCGAACCTAGAAACAATAGAAATCATTTTCATTAATACACACCGTAAACAAAGAGATCACCAACAGAAAAAATTTACCCGATTGAGGAAATCTGGTTTAAAGGTAATCGAATTGGAGGCCATTAAAACTAAACTATCCAAACCTAGTTTGGGTAGGGCAAGATCGGCCACAGCAATGCTAAGTATTTCATTGCGGCCATATACGGAGCTAAGCATGATGTCTTCATTGGTGGATGACTCACTCAGTTGCTGGGGCAATCTTACGGATACCCATGCTATCCGAGAGCCATCGGTTTTATATTTCGATGATAGATCTAAGGCAAGAGTTTTCGCCACTTTGAAGGGATCATTGTCGCCTTTGCTGGCCGAGTCGGTGCGATACATGAAAATCTGCAAGAAGAGGAAATTGTTATTAATAACACTTAGCGATAGCAGAACTAAAAACCATCCAACTTACCAACAACAAGAACGTATTATCCTGATTTCTCATACAAGTCCTTTCATATTGATTGATAAACTGCAGAGCCTCTTCCATTTGATGTTCAAAAGTGGGCACCAAAATGGCAATACGTGTCGATTCCGTAACATATGGTGACGGGACCACTTCCACCCTTCCCAATGGCTTAACAATTTGGAAATTTTTTATTTCCGGTCCACGTTGAGTCAATGCCGATATTCGCCCGGTATCACGCAACAGCAAATGTATACGATAATCCATACCACGAGTCGCATCAAATCTTCGATAGATACTATGTATTCCAACATAAATCATATTTGGAAATTTATGTTTAGCATATTGTCGTGTTATCTCCAGCACCTTTTCCAAATCATCTGCCTCAATGGCGGGCAGAGGTTCAACATTATTTGCATCATTCGGTAGGAAGATATGTGTCTGATTCATATAATGCCACCGAATAATGTCGTGACGTGTCTCTGGTGCACTAGCCAACGGTACACCCAATGGCCAACGTATTTCGAGTATATTATTTGAAATTGTCCCATTCGCTATGCGATACGATTTCTGTTCCAGTTCGGCACTATTTTGTTGAACAATTTCTAAGTGATACTGAGAGGGAGAGAAAGGAAAAATGTTTTGTGGTGAGAGATTATTAGCTTACGATATTCTATAGAACTTCTAAAAGAGGATATTTCATAGCTCCGAAAAAATGGAAGTGAATGAGGGAGTTTTAATGGACGAGCTGAAGGGAGTCTTCATGACGAGCTGAAGGGAGTCTTTATAAACGAGCTTTATAACTGAGCTGAAGGGTGTCTTTATGGACAAGCAGTAAGTAGTCTTTATAGACATGCTGAAGGGAGTCGTTATAGACGAGCTGAATGGTGCCTGTATAGAGGAATCGAAAGAGGGTATCTATAGACGAGCTGAAGGGTGTCTTTACAGACGAGCTGAATGTAGTCTTTATAGACGACCTGAAGGAGTCGTTATAAAGGAGCTGAAGGATGTCTATGGATGGCTCGAAAGGAGTATTTATATAGACCACCTAAAAGGAGTACCGATAGACGAGCTGAAGGGAGTCTTTTTAGACAAGCTGAAGGGAGGATTTATTGGCGAACTGAAGGAAGGCTTTATATACAACCTGAAGGGCATCTTTATAAACGACATCAAAGGGGTATTTATATACCACGTGAATGGAGTACTTATAAACGAGCTGAAGGGAGCCTTTATAGACGAGCTGAAGGAAGTCTTATACACAAGCGGAAAGGAGTCTTTGTAGACGAGCTGAAGGCATTATTTGTAGACGAGCTCAAGGGAGTCTTTGTAGACGAAGTGAAGAGAGTCTTTATAGACTAGCCGAAGGGAGTCTTTATAGACGAGCTGAAGGGAGATTTTGTGATGAGCTGAAGCGAGTTTTCATGACGAGCTGAAGGGGAGTCTTTATATACGAGCTGAAGCGTGTCTCTATGGACGACTCGAAAGGACCACTTAAAGGTAGTATCTATAGCCGAGTTGAAGGTAATATTTATGACGAACTGAAGGAAGTTTTTATTGACGAACTGAAGGGATTCTTTATAGACGATATGAAATCTGCCTTTTGAAAAGAGCAGGAGAGTCTTTATGAAGAGCTGAAGGGGGTACTTTAAGACAAGCTGATGGTCGTCTTTATAGTCGAGCAAAAAATAGTCTTTATAGACGAGCTGGAGGGGTAATCTTTAATCGAGCTCATAGGATTATTTATAGTGAAGAAACTCACTTTGCTTCCACTCCATTTCACCTTTTGGAAAATTAAAAAAAAACCTTTCTTACCTTTGAAAAGTAGGCATGCAAACGATAGAAATCATCCATTGATGTGACCGGATATATTGTCGTCGCATTACGGAATGCCTCATCTTTTGTTAGTAAATTCAAATCTTTGAATAGTTTCACACTCGATTTCAAATCATATGAACGTTGTTGGATTCCCTGAAATAAAAAAGAATAAAAAACAACATTATTTAATGTTTGTTTAAAAAAAATTAATGGGATCATGGCGGATGAGGACAGACGAATGTGTTTGAATGACGGTCGTCCATCCCACCCCATGGCATGGCATATTGTTAACAAATGTTTCATTCTGTTTGACAAGCTCAACGAAGATGAAACTCTCAAATCTATGACAAAATGTACACATACATACGTACATACATATGTATATCAACATATGTATGTATATTTTTTGCATAAACAAACTACATAAGGAGAAAGGCGAGTTTGTTTAGAGTCGGAAAGTTGAAAAATATTGAAAAATAAAAGAATAAACACCACACATAAAAGACAGAGGCGTATGTATAGAGGGTAGGGGCTATAAGGATGTGTTTGTTTGATATTTAATAAAATATAACTATACTTAAAATAATCTAAATAAAGAGACGTCAAAGAAAACTGAAGGTTACATTTAAATAGTCCAGCGACCGCTGGATTTTGAATATAAATTTTAGGCCACCTTTAAAGACTCCTATGTAGTAGTGTATGAAGAAGCTGGCTAACTCCCATCTTGTAGATTTTAATGGGAACATATTACCTGCATAATAGAATGCCTACTGACCATCTATAATTTTTTCCTTTTAATAGTCTATTAAGATTCAGATCTTATCACACCTAAATATTCATTAGGGGTTCCTTTAAAAGTTCGCTTTTAAAGACAGAGTCAGTCCATCGAGATGCATATAACGATTTTTTTCTGCTTCCTATATAAATTACCTTCTGTTGGTATTTTTATCGTCTATAGAAAAAGCTCCCTTCCGAGGTTTCCCATAGTGACGACCACGTCACTGTTCAAACTAACATAAAAATATGCATGAATGTGTATTTGAATGCCTGCCTCCATCCATGTCAACATAAAAATTCATTAAATTGCTATTAAATTCTTTTTTTGGGGAAGACAATGAGCCCAAACAACCATCCAGACAGCAAGATCTTCGGGTTCCTTTGCGAAAGTGTTGGAAAATTGCAAGAACAAAGCAAGTGCTTTGTTCTTTGCCTCTTATTCTTCTTCGTTAAATTTTTTGGGAAAGGAAGCTGGCAATTTAATATTTAAGAAATTGAAACAGTTTGTTTGAAATCGGAGGGTACATGACTGTGACTAACACCAGCATTCGTTTGAAATTAATGCTTTGAAGTTTATTGACCGTCGGGATTAAGATGAGAGAGAAATTTTAGCTTGACCATGAAATTATTTTTTTTGGATTTGGACTTAGAAATTTCGTGGCATTAAATGCCTTTAGAGTCATTCTGGTCTTCATTTTGAAAGCAAAGACCCCCTGACCTTCTGTTCGACTATAATAACGAAAATTTTATAAAGACTCCCTTCAGTTGGTCTATAAAGACTCCTTTCACTTCGACTATAAAGACTCCCTTCAGTTAGACTATAAAAATTCCCTTCAGCTTGTCTATAAAGAAGGTAGGGAGTCTATAAAGACTTCCCTCTGCCGATCTATGTAGATCTTAAGACTCCCTCCAGCTCGTCTACACAGACTCCCCTTCAGCTCATTTCAAGCTCAAGAATGAAAACCCCGAAATAGCCCTGACTTACATTCAAAGCTTGGCACATGCGACGAGTAAATAAAGAAATTAATCTACACAAGCGTTTTTGTTTTCTTAAAAAAAAAAATAATACAGAAATGATTGACATTGAATGAGATGGTGCCACAAGAAAAAACTCCATAATAATTCTTATTTCCAACGTATAAAAAAGTCTACTATGGGCGGTATAAAAAATAGATATCTTCTGTTTATGAAATATCTTACAAAAATATAAAACTTTTTTATTTACTATGGGAAAAATCAATCGGGCATTGAATGTCACTGCCATTTGTTAAAGTTTCATATTTAATATTTTCTTCGAATATTCCGAAATCAGCATAATTTTATTAGTAACCACCACCACATTTCCAATAACATAATGGGGATACCTGATGTTGTTCAGGTGAAGTTTTACGTCAGCAAAATGTTATTTCTTTATTTATTACCGATCACCATATCCCTTCCCAACCTGCCTTCCATTGGTTATGGGAACACATGCTGCATACACATTTCAATTGCATGGCAAAATTAAATTTATTCAATTACAGCGTTCGTTAACGTGATAATCAATCGATCGTTTCAACAATAACTCACCTGATTTGAATTTGCCAAAAAAAAAAAAAAAAACTGAATGTTTGCAAATCATTCCCAAAACTTGGCAATGACGTGTTCATTTCTTGAGATATGTTGTTGGCCCCAAAAAAACATCGAACTTACTTTGCAAGTTCTTGCAAATATTTATATCCGGACGAAATAAAAAAAAAATCCCGCCGAAAGAACAATGTGTGCTGATTCACATCGATGTTATAAAAAGTTCTAAACAAACTGTTTTACTTTTTTTTTTGTTTTATGAAGAACTAAATCTGTTGTTCATTTTTCATTTGGTAAGTAAATCAAAATTTTCTTAAATAAACATTTCAATGGAAATGGAATTTTGAACATCAAAGAGAAGAAAAATGTCGATGAGGTAAAAATAGTTTTCGAAGAAATTTTCAATGCGAAAAAATTAGCTATTAAATTATGAATTTTAATAAATTAAAATAAGTTGGCCTTGTGGAGTACATAAAAATGATCACGGTAGAGGGAGTCTTTAAAAATGAGCTGAAGGGAGCATTTATTGCAAACTGAAAAACACCTGACGGGAGTCTTTATAGACGAGGTGAAGGGAGACTTTATATACGATCTGAAGTGAGTTTTTTATAGATGGGCTAAAGGGAGTCTTTATAGACGAGCTAAAGGGAGTCTTTAACGAGCTAAAGGGAGTCTTTATAGACGAGCTAAAGGGAGTCTTTATAGACGAGCTATAGAGTCTTTATAGACGAGCTATAGGGAATCTTTATAGACGAGCTATAGGGAGTCTTTATAGACGAGCTATAGGGAGTCTTTATAGACGAGCTATGTGGAGTCTTTATAGACGAGCTATAGGGAGTCTTTATAGACGAGCTATGTGGAGTCTTTATAAAAAAAACGAGCTATAGGGAGTCTTTATAGACGAGCTTCAGGGAGTCTTTATAGACGAGCTATAGGGATCTTTATAGACGAGCTATAGGGAGTCTTTATAGACGAGCTATACTTTTATAGACGAGCTATAGGGAGTCTTTATAGAAGCTATAATCTTTATAGACGGTTATAGATTTTATAGACGAGCTATAGGGAGTCTTTTTAGACGGGCTGATTTTTAGACGAGCTGAACGTAGTCTTTATAGACGAGCTGAATCAGGGAGTCTTTATAGACGAGCTGAAGGGAGTCTTTATAGACGAGCTGAAGGGAGTCTTTATAGACGAGCTGAAGGGAGTCTTTATAGACGAACTGAAGGGAGTGTTTATAGACTAAACCAAGTCTTTATAGGCGAGCTGAAGGGAGTCTTTATAGACGAACTAGAAAGTTTTTGGACGAGCTGGAGGGTTCAGATAAGTATCTAAAGTCGATCTGAAGGTCAGGGAAAGGGAATCTGTATTTTTTGTGAAGATAGTCTCTATTGACAAGGCGTCTTTGTCGGCGAGCTGGTGGAAGCTTTTTAGACCAGCTGGATTTTGTCTTTATAGCGAGCTAGAGGGAGTTTTAATAAAAGAGCTGTAAGGAGAATCTACACAACAACTCCAGGAAGTCTCAATATCGGAAAAAGAAATATCGGAGAACTACAATTCTGTAATGTTTTTCTATAGAAAAAATCATAGACCTTTGTGACTCTATTTTTTCTATAGACAAATATTATAGACCCTTGGATTAAGGATCATTCTAAATGTTTCTATTGCAGGCCCTTGGGTCTCTTCTTTTTTCCATAAGAAAAAAAATCAAAATTGGTCTTGATTTTCGGTTTCAATATTTTTTCTATTTCCAGGGACAAGCTGTAAGGAGAATCTACACAACAACTCCAGGAAGTCTCAAAGTCGAAGAGAGAAATATCGGAGAACCTCATATCTGTAATGTTTGTCTATAGAAAAAAAAATCATAGACCTTTGAATAACGGGTCACCCTAATTTTTTCTATTCCAGGCCCTTGGGTCACAACTTTTTGTCGATAAGGAAAAAGAACAAATTGGTTCTTGATTTTGGGTCTCAATTTTTTTTTCTTTTCTTAGGAAAACTGAAGGGCGGGGAGCGTTTGAGATGAGCTTGAGATCAGAAAGTCTCCCGGGGACGAGCTGAGGGACAGAGGCGGCACCCTGTAGCTCGGCAGTAGTCTTTTTTGAAGAGTTGGAATACAAGGAGGCTTTGTTGACGAGCAGAAAACCAAGGAGTCAAGGAATTGAAAACTTAGGAAACATGTACATATATATATATATATATATATGTATATATTAGGGCGGGCCAAATTTTTTTTCGATTAAATCCAGCCCCTAGGATGATTTTATGGACAATTCTAAGCAATCTTCGTAAAGGAACCCTAGGACTATCTTGATTGTTAAGTCTCCCACTTTTCAATAAATTAGTTTCCCTATAACATCATTTGGATTCAAAACTCGATTTTTATACCCTACAAAACTTTGTTGTCAGGGTATTATAGCTTTGTGCAGCCCCAAGAGTTTGTAACGCCGCGAAATATTGGTCCTAGATCCACTTTAAGTATACCGATCGTCATTACTCGACAAGCTGAGTCGATGTAGACATGTGTGTCCGTCCGTCCGTCCATTATAATTTGTAAACACGATACAAGCCACAGTTATGGACGAATCTTCACGAAATTTTGCATGTAGGATGGGTTATGGCCAATGAAGACCCCTATTGTTTTTGGTAAAGATCGGTTAATATTTAGAGGATAAAATAGCTCCAGAGGCCGCAATTATGACCCAAACATCGTGAAATTTTACATGGAGAAGGGGATCGGGTCAAAGAATGAGCCTACCTGTTTTGATAAAGATAGGTCAATATTTAGCGGGTCAAATGGACCCGGACTTTTG